CCGAATGACCCGAGTGCATCACGGCGAGGATGAGACGAGTGCTTGAGGCGAGTATATGCGAAGCGACCGTGATCAGAAGGTGATCGCGAACGTGTAAATGTGAACGCAGGTGAATACGGTACGGGTATTCTGGAATAACGTTAGGGTGCCTTGAGGAGGAAAAAGGAGCCGCACGGCATGCTGTATACGATATGCGATGCTATGCTGCTATTCTGCGTGCGTACGAGGCATCGAACTCGATAACTTCAGGATGTAGATGGCAGGCGGATGGAGGTCGGAGCATGGGCCGAGCACCCCGAACATCCCGCGGAAGCCTAGATGTACTGATGCCCCAAGAATGATGTCCGCGATGTAGCGCACAACATAGTATGCAAACATAGCGCGCAAGATAACATTCAAGATAGAATTTAAGATCACCGTGCATATCGTGACCACTGAGCGCTGCTGTGAGATCCGGCTACGTCGTTGTTAGCGCGCTGATGTTGGGGCAAGCAATGGAAGGGGGAGTCGGGAGTGTACAGCGTACTGTGAGCGTAGATACGCAGGAAGGCGTCATCGCTCCGTCATCCCGCCATTCTCGCCATCTTACGTCCCGAGTATTCCGTGTGCATTGATGGTGATGGTGATGGTGATGGTGAGAACGACAGAGGCGTCAACAGCGTACCGCCTGCCAATCGTCCTAGTACCCGGGTACTTCGCGTAAATTGTGTGCATCGTAAATCGGGTAGATCCGAGTCGAGGTACATTGATATTCTATACTTGATGCATTGATATTCCATACTTGATGGATTGATCTTATACGCAGAAGGCGTGATAGTGAGAAGGCGACTGCGATATGCGGTGAACGGGTGTGCTTAGAATGCCTGACCAGACACCTACCACGGCCTACGCACCCCGCCGACTATCCCGAGCGCCATGTTCTCAACCAGTGCACATACACGTCTGTCATCTGCACCATCCACTATCTGCATCTGCATCTGCATCACAACATTAGCGATGCACAAAAGACGAGACGAGAAGAAACAGCGTACCAGTTCCAATATGAGCAATCCGAATCCAGTACCCCAGTAAAGAAGTGAAACCAGAGGCGACAGAATATGGGATCCTGGGAGCTATAGGCCGTAGCAGGTCGAGTACCTTTGCTGTGTCTTGTGGGTCCCAGTAGGTCCCATAGAAGCCATGTAGAAGGCACTCAGGGTTCCAATAGCAACGCAAATAGCTCTATTGCTGTAACGCATAGCATATAAGGGCCCGGTCTGCTCGTCGAAATGTTAGTCCCTCGGGTCTGGGGTTGGCTGAGTTTGAAATTTACATTTCCTAGCGCTGGGGTTTGGCTGAGCGCGTCACATTTGTCACACATGTTCTATATACGGCGCCAATCTGATAACAATTGCAACAATGGTTCGTACTACCAACAGCCGCACCCAAACACTTCGAGAAGCTGCCAATGCTCAAGCACAACATCGTCTACGGACCTCTGCTATCCTTGCCGCAGTTGTAGGGGGGGCTGCCCTTCATATGGCTCAGTATCTGATCAAGACTCCTATGTATACCTCTGCTCTCACTGGTGAGCAATGGACAAAGGAACTTCTTGATGGACATTGGGAGCGCTTTCACAATATGATGGGGATGAATAAGCGAGTCTTTCAAAAGCTCAATCAGGAGCTGCAGAAGTACTCTGGATTCAAGGGTTCAAGGTATATTGGGCAGGAGGAGCAGTTGGCAATGTTTCTGTACATGTGCCGGTCAGGTGCGGTACACCGGGAAGTGCGTGAGCGTTTCCAACATAGTCCTGGGACAATAACACGGTATACATATCAACTTGAATTTTTTAACCGTTGCTAATGATTCTCTAGGGTGTTCGACAACCTTCTGAACCGTTTAACTGATCCCCAGTTTTATACACGCTATATGAAGCTTCCGCCAAGTGATATCACACCGCCTGAGATACGTACCAACCCCAAACTCTTCCCATTCCTCAAAGACTGTCTTGGAGCTCTTGACGGTACTCATATCGATGCCTTTATCCCTGACGAAAGTCAGATTGCACGAAACCGAAATCGCAAAGGCGGGCTCACTCAGAATGTTCTTGCTGCAACCACGTTCGACATGCGGTTTGCATATGTACGGGCAGGTTGGGAAGGGAGTGCTGCAGATAGCCGTGTTTTTGCAGATGCAAGGGCTACCGATTTTGCGATCCCCCCTGGCAAGTATTATCTTGGTGATGCTGGTTTCCCTGCATGTGATGCACTGCTGGTACCCTACCGTGGTGTCCGATACCATCTCAAGGAGTGGTCAAGATCTACAAACACGTGAGTTTGTCTCTGACTGTATTGGTGTCTTACTCATTCTGTATTAGCCCACGCGATTACAAAGAATTGTTCAACTTGCGACATGCTCAAGCTCGGAATGTTGTTGAGCGCATCTTTGGTGTTGTCAAGCGGCGATTCCGGCTCATCAACACTGCTCCAGAGTATTCGTTGAAGAAGCAAGCAAAGATGGTGCTTGCGTTATGTGTACTTCACAACTTCATCCGTGTCCATGATCCCCAGGACTTAGATGGAGCAACCTTGGAGGATCTCAGCAACTATCGCCAGCAATCACATACACCAACCACAGATGATTATTCAACTCACATCTCACATGAAGAACGAGATCGGGCAAACGACTTCCGGGATAGGATTGCTAAACAGATGTGGGAGCAGTACCAACAGTATCTACAGCAGAACATGTAATTACGTTGGTATTAAAATTGCAGGAGGTATGTAGATGTAAAGAGTGGAATGGGGTAAAGAATGTGAAATGATGTAATAAAGGAGTGGGATGAATTAGTAGTAACCTAGAGAGAAGATAGCTCAGCAAGGATATATGCATGGCGAAGTACATCACTATCAATGCCCATATATGTATCGACACTTGAACTGTCCTTTCGGAAGAGAACAAGTGCCTTACCTTTCTCTTCTATGGTTAGATCATGATCCATGTCCAACGCAGCAATGACCTTGACCAGACGAGAGCCAGAAAGCATCTCCGAAGAACCTACAGCAGCCGTTCCCGCATTAGCCACCTTGCTGACAGCTCCTGCCAATGCAAGAAGAGCGTCAGGACCAGAGGTACGGCCCCGCTTCATCCTGTATGGAGCCGGAGTGTCATCCGCATCAGAGGCAGCACGCTTCCGACACTGAGATGAAGGTGGTGGTGGTGGGGAAGGGGAAAGAGGAGGGAAAAGGGGAAACATGTCCATATCCTACAATGATTGAGTTTTCAAGTTAAACTCAATACTGATAGCACATACCTGAGAGGCTTCGTCCTCATTATCGCTACGAGGAGTTCCAATATCCCCACTATCATCAGCAACCATAGCGGTGATACTGACAGCATTATCACCAGTTGCACTACGACCTTCAACCAAGGCAAACATGAGGTCATAGCAAGGAAAGGCCTTCTTTCGCCACTTCTTGGCGGAGGGATGTTTCTGGTATAATCAGTAATGGCAGGCAGGAGAAGATAAGGAGACGTACATCAATATACTTGTCCCAGACATCATCAGTCGCAGTGACAAGATGTCGTTGGTCATCCCAACCAAATCCTGAAAGAGAGCGAAGGACTTGGACAACAAGAAAGCTCTCCTTGAGCTAACCAACATGATAAGTCATAGCCTGTAGACTAAGATATCAAGTACGCACTGATTTGAACCTATCACGACAACTGGTAGCAGTCTTGCGACTACCCTTGCTCCTCTCTTCACTACCCTTCAAGCTTTCCTCAGCTGCAGTCCACACCAGGGTTTTCCAGCCATTGTCCCCTTGATTGCCAGCAGCTTGTTGCTCAAGAAGGCAGTCAAGAAGGGCCTTGTCATCGGCATCCGTCCATATGGCCTTTTTCCCCTTCAATACAGGGGGATTCTCCTTATTTGATTGCGTCGAAGAAGGCATTGGCGCGTGAGTGAAAGAAGCGAGGGGAGAGAAGCGAAGGGGAAGAAGCGAAGGGGGAAGAAGCAGGGGGATACGAAGAAGCGCCGAGAATTGATGTGACATGGGGCCTGCCCCAAACCCCAATGCAGCAGAGCAAACCGCCGGCTTGGGGTAGGTTTGGGCCGGGTTTGATCCAACCGTGGGACTCAAATTTGGCAGGTCGGGGCTAACATTTCGACGAGCAGACCGGGCCCTAAGTGGTTTGTAACCAGTTCGTCCCAACTTATGGCTCAAACGCAGTTGAGACATCTGTATGTTTGGCAACGTGTTCTGGCTCGTGTAATCTTGCAGTGCGCGCCAGCATGTGGTCGACATGATGGTGAAGATTAGACAGCGTTCGTGACACCGTGAAAGACAAGACTGGAACACTGACGGTGCGAGGAACCTTCCTGGTCGAATGGTCCAGGGACTTCAGGCACGTGCCTCACATCACCAAAAAAGGGATTGCCGCCCCTGATACCCCGGATTCTTTGTCAAAGCGGAGTCCCGCATTCGAGTGTGCGTGTAGAGTTTTGTTCAATAGGTGTACAGAAAATACGCGATGGAGATACGCATGCGCTTCAATCATGCTGTCTGACGTCTATCTAGCACGCTCAGTCTTTGGACAATGGCGACTCTATTTTGGAGAAGATGTCAGGACACTAAGAACCGATACATGATGTACGGAACCTAGAACATCCTGCATCACGGTGCATTAATCTATTGATCATTAAACCGCTGCGTAGCAAATTCCGAGACGCGTGAACTTCGTATTTTAGGAACAATGGATTATGGCAAAACATAACTTCTGAGATCGTGCGGCGCGAGTCGAAGGTGTCAGCGAGTTTGCGAATTCAACGGGAAGCAAGTAAACAGTATATATCGTGATCAGACGGTGCAAATTGACCAGGTTACGTTCGCCGCCATGATGTTAGCCTTTGGTGTGCCTTCGGGGCGCTCCAGGATAGCACTAGTGCTAGAACATATCAGGGGCTCGTGGCCCAGCTCGTGTCAGGCAGATATGTATCTGAAGGCGAGGGGGATGATTCATGTTAGATTGTCACTCGCAGCGCTGGCGATCGAAGCGTTGGCCCAGCTGACCTTCGAACAATGGGAGATTGTATCGGGAGTTGCATTGGCATTTGCATTTGCATTTACGGCAGTGTAGTCTAGAATGGGGACCAACACCGCGGCGGTGAGAAGTGAGAATAGCAGGTACAGGCAATGATAGAGGGCCGGTGTTGGATATGAGTCAACGGTCTGCCATCGTGGAGTTGTGGCGTTGGCGGACCAGGAAGCTGTCGGTCGAACAATGGCAGATTTTGAATCGGAGATGGGGAAGATGATAGCCTGCGTAGGAGGGGGATTGAGAGGTAGGGATAAACAGGGAGCATGGTGATTGCGATATCAAGGGGAAGGGAAGCCTGAGGGCGCATGGATGGATTGGCTAGCAGAGTAGACTTCTTCATGCACGCAACATATGTCATGGGCTAACACCGTGGAGAATGTTAGATGAATGGCTACGGAGGTGCGATCACTTGGTTGCCTATTCAGTATATCGAAGTTGATTAGAATATGGTGGCTCACTTCGACTAGGACTAACCTCTCGACCTCCAACTGGCTTGTACCAGTCACAGGGAGAACTCGAATATGATTTTACTTCGCGCTGCTCACGTACTATATTCATCCACCAGAATACAACTAAGATCGAAGGCAAAGGCGTAGGCAAGTTAAAGGGGTCAGTCCCGGAGAACTCCATCGTAGGTACCGAGTCGCCGAAGAACCCAGGCGAGAACCTGGGGAAGACTACCGGGGAGAGGGAATGCGGGTAACGGAAGGATAGGAGTAAGAACTTGGATGACGGAAGCTGGAATTTAGAGGGAGGGATGTCGCAGATAGGGTGATGCCATTGCCTCTACCAGGTTCGAGCGAATTCTGACATGGTGTGATATGCGCACGGCTGCCGAGTCTCAGCGGCACAGTGGAAGTATTTGAAACACTCACTACTACGGCTTGCAGATGATGAATCTTTTGTAAGTATCGGGGTTGGAACGGTTATATCACGGCGTTCAGACCATCCCATCACGGATCGTACTTCAGAGTCTAGACAGCGAACAATGATAATTCGAATGCGGACTTCGCGGTGTCACCTGCGTGGAGAAAAAAGCCCAGCGGATGCTCGACATTCTGGCTTGACCCTCGCTAAGAGGGAAAGAGAAGGAGAAGGAAAGTCGAGATCATATCGGGGTGGGACAAAGAGTCATTGACTCGGTGTCACGCCGCCTTACTCCCGCCTAATAGTACACACTTGCTTGCTTCCTCACTGACAGCGCGGATTGGTTAATGATCGGTATAGAAAAACAACGGAACGACACGCACCAGTAGTTCTTGTGTATTTGCTCACGCCGCAGCGAATCTGAGTGAGTCAAAAAGCGTGGAGGTTAGAAGTTGAAGGAGTGGAGAGCGCGGGACGTCGTGGGTGGAGTGGATGATCTAATTCGGACGGCGAAGATAGCGAGTATGCTACTCATAATACATAATAAAAAATCAAATCATGACCACAAGGACTTACTGCTCCGTTCAATGTCCTCAAAGAAACGGTCTACTGTGTTCACTATACAATGCGGAAGGACAGACCGTGGCCACTCTAGCGGTCCAGTCCAGAGACGCTATACTTAGACTCGTGTACGTTGGATAAGCGCTATGGATTCTGCCCCGCCGGCTGATCAAGCGCTTGCTCCGCCTGGCGCCTGCTACTTGACACCTTCACACCGATCGACTCATTGACTCATCGAATCACCGAACGATCAGTGATCAAAGGATATATTTGGAGGCGGACGATCGGTGAGATAGGCTTGCTTGCTTTTGCACGCGCGTGCACGAGGCGATGCGTGATGGAATGCGTCGTACAGTGGTTCTGGACGCTCGGGACGGGATTGCCTGTTAAGGCGAACAATGAGAGATGTGTACCGATATTTCTATTTCTCATTGATCGAATAGCGGGTGTATTGATGTAGTGGCGGCGTATTGCGTGGGCGTATGGGTTTTTGATTGCGTGGCCTGCGTACGGAAGAGGTCTAGATGAGTGTGACTCGACGGCAAGATTGAACAGAAATTGCTCCTACACTCAGGCACGGGTACATAGATGCGCAGATAGGTTGTCGGCATAGATATATAGATGGATCCGTGTTCATGAGAATGGCGGGTGTAATATGGCCTGATACTTTTGCCTCGTATGGGCATGAAGTCTTGGAGGACAATGAGCGGATTCTGAGCGGGGACGGATGAATCTACGAGACACAGCGGGTCGGGTCGGGTTCGAAGTGAAAGTGAGAATTCCCTCGAAAGTCGAGGCACGGAAGCATATGGTGGCGTGCATATGAGTCGACTCTATCATCCCCCTGCTATCGAGACAATTGTGTTTCCGTGGAATCAATCGTGGGCGTTTGGACTTGAATAGATGCAGTCCTGCTTGACACGAGTCAAAGCGCCAATTCAGGAAGGCCGTTTGGACTCACCATAAGCGTATAGTTTTTTTACGGACGGTTAATTTTGGGTTCATTGATCAACCCTGCGGTAGTGCGAGTAGCTTCCTCGACTAGAAATTCATATCTGTAAATGTATACTTATTTTCCATTTTCTGAGTGACAAGGATCTAGACTTACGTTGCAACCAAGCTTCGATATGCAGGATATTGTCCAAACGCTAGCGTGCCTTCGAATGTGACGATATTTCATTGTCTGGATAATATGACTCGTCGAGCTTCCCCAACGTCCCGGCGTATGTATATCCGTTTCAAGTCGTTAGCTTGTGGGGAGGAGCGAGGGTGGATCTTAAGTCCACCGTTCCCGCGGGTATACCTAGTACCCATTGTGAGAAGCTTTCCCACTAGCTAAACCATGAGTCACAGCGAATGGTGGGTGTGATGATGCATTGATGACGAGAAGAAGGTTGAGCGCGGCGTGCGCCGCACAGCCGAGGCTATGCACAGGTGCAAGAAAGGCTTCCATGCGTACGGCCTCGAGGTGAGGGACGTCTTTGTCAGGATGTGGGTTGTGGCAGACATGCTCCGATATGGGTGCCGAGGAATTGAGCGCACAGTGTTCGGACCAACATCTGTGTCGTGTTCATAGGGCGCTGTCACTCACGGCTCTTCAAAGTTTCAAGGCTTTCCACGAAGACAGCCTCGTGTAGGGGCACGAAAGATGAGATCCTTTCGGGATTAACAAAACATAAACGGCGAAGCTATTCGGTCGGATGAGTATACAAGAGGGTGTATTTACAGGAACTGTCAACACGAGGCACTGCATGAGGACCTGCGATATATGAGGAATTCAGGATGGCGGGATGAGCCCACTCACCTCGACACCGCCGATGCTGAATTGCATTCTCTGCGCCTTCTGAAGCAGAACGAGGCATAACGTTACGCGCCTCATGCAGGATTGAAATGTAGCACTCTTCACATGTGGCGGACGTCCGCTTGGTCACAGTCACGGACAGTCGATCACGTGTGAATGGGAGTCGTGGACGTCGTCCACATTGACATGTACGATGAGCACTTGCTTCCCGACGACCCTCTGCCAGACAGTAGCTTCATTCGACTTCCGTTGTAGAACTTCGTTTCCCTGACAATCTCCATGGCCCGGTCGCTAGCGCGGGGCTCTGCAATCGAGCCTTTATCCGTGGCGCGCACAGCAAGCATGTTCTTTTACCGGCGACTGGGGCTACGGATTCACTTGCTGCACTCTGCGAGGTCGAATCGAGTATCAAGATCCTGGCGGAATTACAATGCTAGTTCGTACGGGGCTTTGGGATCAAGACATAGCAAGGTGTGGCGTATCACACAGCAAGAATGTTCTTTCAGATCACGAAACGTGTTGCGATGTCGCAGATCGTATGTCAGAATATGAGCGTATTGCGGGGAGGACAAAGGAATGGCGCCGACGTCCTGGCTCGGTGCGTACACTCTTCTCCGCCATACTGATGATTTCAAATTCACACTTTTCTAGGACCCGTAACACGTGTGGCGTCGCCCGCTTTGTTTCTACCTGAACAGGGACCTCCGTACTAAGAATATTCCCCAGGTCGTGGAACGTGTTCCTTCGTAGGGTGCGCGCTACTCCTTTTGCGGCCTGTTCTCAGGATCGTGGGCCTATCCTGTTTATTGGGCAGTGGTCAACAGCGAACACGGCATCTGATAGGACCCAACAACTCAGAGAAATTTGGAACAGGGCGACACTGGATACTTCATCAGGAAGACATTAAATCCGCCGCCAATTACCAACCTTTGTGTACCCCCGACAGTCAGAACACGTGTAACATCGTTCGGCAGCTATCCGGAAGTTATCATTATTGTCTAGAGTTTGATGTCGTTGGGAGCCTTCTAGGCTAGATTTCCGTGGAAGAGTTATTTTGGCGTCGTGGAGGACTTGCCCCCGTTGTGAGTGACTGTAAAGGAAAACTGAACAGAATGAAGAAAACTAACTTGACACAGGTCCGACATACATGGTACGCAAACTCGACGCCGTCAAACTGAACCCCGAATTCTGATTGAACTTGTCCCGACATCGTCGTAGCCAAGGTCATACTGCAGTTATCTCCTCGTCAAACGCGGCATTGATGGACATTTTCCGATTCTGGGTGACCTTGCTTGCGAAATACATGACCCATGGACCAGAAGACCACCCAGACGATTCTAGGGACATGAGTTCACCGTGCGACTGTTGGGCTCCGATTCCACGCCGAATCCTCGTTAGAATCCACATTGTCCGCCGTGTAATTGCTCAACATAATCCCCGAAGTATACTTTAACATTCTCCCCCGCCTCGACATGTGCTCCCACCTCGATTGCGACTTGAACAATGAATCTATTCAGAGCGTGCTCCTCGAACCGATCCGTTATTCCCGCCCTCCTGGTGCGGACATCATCCGAGGCTCCAAACTGTACTGAAAGTACGTTCCCTATTTGGTCGTCCCCTTGTTCTGTTTTCGTCCTCCCTCCCTCCGTCCATCCCACTTACTGCTCCTTCATGTTTCCTTATACAGATCTCGACTGCTTCTACCCTCGAAGATACTTCGACGAAGAATCTTCCTCGATTTTTCTGGGGATAATTCGTCAATAGTCAGGAAATTCGAGGTCCTCCTTCTAGCGAGGACATTTAATTACCATCTTTCCCCCCGAAGTCCTGCATCCGAATTTACTCACCCTAGACCCTGGGTGGAGGGCTTGGACAGCGTCGACCTATTTCCCTTGATTTTACGTTGATTTTTGGTACACTGAGCCTATGACGTTGTCGTAGGAGCTGCGGACCGTTCGACCTGTTCGACGCTTTCAAGCCCGTTCTAAGATGTCTAATCACTCCCTCAGTGCGGTGCTCCCGCCTTGCATCCCTTCTCGCGCTTGGGTATATCCTCAACCCTCCATTCCAATATTCCCAAATACTACGCTTTACTTTGGCCGGGTTAACTCCGAGGGCAGGATCGGCAATCTCTCTGCATATGGCCCTCCGCTAGCGGATCTCATCGATTGTGCCAGCGATTTCGATGAAGGGGTGCGCACTACATGCTCCGCCCCCCTTGGGGCAGAGAGCGCTGGCAAGTCTATCAACCCCCGTCTGCTATGACAAGGAAACCAGGAGTTTGGCGGGGATCAACGCCAATGGGTGCCTCGTGCCCGATGTGGGAAGACAGGACCGAGATAGTGGTAAGCATCGTCGCGATAAGGCAGGTTCGACCTGTGGGTGCGGAGACAGGCGAGCTTTCTCGGGCCTGATGACCTCGTCTGAAATTGATTCCTTAGGCTTTGCAGCCAATGCTGCGTTGAATCAAGAGTTTATGATTACTCTCGCCATTCGCTCTATCATTCCAGCAGCATCGCAAGTCCGTGCTAAATCAGACGTTAGCTCGGAATGTCGGGCCTAAGCTTCAGTCAGTCCCGGTCTCATGATCAATCTACGAACTGCGTATGCAGCACGTACGTTGCTAGGATGGTCGGTTTCCGCGCGCCTGAATTCCGACTCCCTTTTCCTCCGTGTTCCCCATCCGGTGAAGCTCAAGACATTCAGGTAAGTCAGGCGAGCTGCTCAACTGAGTGCCTGGGCGGCGTAGTCTCTTGATAATCCATTACAAATACTTCACAGGTCTCTCATCTACGGTCGGTGTCGTCTATATCCATCCTCCATGGCGTGGTAGTGAGGCTAGGGGAGCTTGGTGTGGCTAGCTACTGGGCGCTCGGAACACTACGACAAGGCTATCGGGCACGGCCAGTTGTGCGCAAGGCGAAACCAGGTATTGACGACAACTCGGCAGTGGCGATGGGTTCTACCGACACCTTCATCCTCCCGGAATAAGAGCCAAGATGAATTGAGTACGTGGATATAAGTGTTATAGATATGCACTTCTTTGTATGGATGTATACGATGCTTGCCTAATGACCATAACCATCTATACGCCTTGCGAGTGAATTGTGGAATTCTGGATACCGTGCAACCATTCCGTTCTGCTGCCTCCGCATCTTTGGTTCTCTTCGAAGTGGGCTCGAAGGAACTCGTATGTATGCATTTGTTACGTGATTCACGCTTGTCGGTGGCCCCGCACTAGTGTTCACACAGCGAGTACGAGTCGAAGTCCTCCCATTCATTCAAGGCATTGACAATGATGACAACAGTACATGATGTTGTGTTGGATGTTGTAAACTTGTAAACCTTCGGGAGCAGGTCAGGACACTCTGCGGCGAGGATCTTTCCTCAATTACGCTGGCTGCATGGCCACAGTGCTTTTGCAAGGAGTCGAGAGCGGCAATGTTCGACTTCATCGTCTACATTCGTCATGCTATGATTTCAACTGCCGTCCTCTCAGGGAACGCGCACCTTATATTTTCCGATGGTCGTGGCCAGCAGTTTGCATGTCGATGCTCGTGGGAGGCCCAGGTCACTCAATACATCGCCTAGCACATTGAGGCCATGCACCATGCACCCTTGACTAATACGGGCTACTCTAAGGGAAAATCAATGCTGTGGCGACAAAACTGAAGATAGGAACGGAGTAAAGATTCAGAATAGGGTCGAGATAGCAGTTACAAGCTATCTCATGGCGTTTACACCCTATTCCTCCTCACAAATCTAACCGGCACCTCAGTGATGGCTAGAACTGGAACCAGCCTGCCATTCATGACCCGTCTTTTCCATTCCTCCTTCGTTTCGCCGCGTTGTAAGATCGGCTCAATGCGCCATTCACGGAGGAGCATCGTTAGCCAACACACGGATTCGGTGAGCGCGAATTTACGGCCTATGCACATTCGCGGTCCTGATCGCAAGAGTCCCATCAATAGGGACAGTAAAACAACCAAACGACTCAAACGGTGCTCACCGAAACTGAAAGCGGTGAACTCCTCTGATTCATTAGACACGCCGTCCCACCTTGAGGGCTTGAACTTCTCGGGTTCATTGAAGTAACGAGGATTGTATTCTGACAGTAAGTCGTCACGTCAGTAGAAATTACACCTGTGGATAGTGCGATGTGCTCACGTATGCCTATCATATCTACAATCACCTGAGGCTGGCATGAGCACGCCGGTGTCATTCTGGAATCAGCCATCTCACCTGTGTTCCCTTGCGGATAGGAATAACCGTATTGCCCGCCTGGCCAACAGGGTTAGGGACAGACAGTGTCGTATCCTCACTTGCTTCACGGGCCATCAAGTGGATGATCGCTGTATTCGCCCACAACACCCACAAAGATATATAACTAAGTGGATTACTTGAAGGCGACGTTGAACTCACGGAACATTCGGAGCGACTCGTAGAACACTGCCGTCACTTTGGTCAGCTTGGGGTAGTCTTGCAAGGTCTAGAGCCGAGCACAGTTCAGAGGGGTTGATACATATGAAGTTGGGGATACGGGAAGACGATGACGCACAGGATCACGATCGAAACCGACAACATGCGCTATTTGCTGTAAAACATCATCTTGGATATCTTCATACAAACTTATGAGCCCCAGGGTCGCTGCGAGGGTATGGGCCGTTGTTTCTACAAATGTCGAATCATTATCACGACCGCGAGGTCCAACGGGGGAGGGGGGGGTGCGCGTACCATGTCCGGCAGATAACATAAGAAAGATGTTCCCGATAACTTCTTGATCGCTCAGCTTGAGTTTATCATTCTCAGACTGATTGGCCGCCACTAGCATCGTGAAGATGTCCTTCCCCCGCACACCCTTGTCGCTCACCGCTGCGTTCAAAGTGTGTTTGCGATCTTGGACCTGATCATGCATGAATTTCGCCAGATATTCATAGGCGATGCGAATTTCCTGGATCCTGATTGGAAATAGCTGTCAGGATGCGAAGTATAGGGATACAAGTTATGAAAATGCTCTAACCATTTCACAGGTAGCCTATATATCCAACTCGGTGCAACGACGGCAAAGATGGTTGTATCGGAAACGATGCGGAGGGCCTCGTGTGTGGACATGAAACCATTGGGCAGTTTCGCCGGCGTCAACCAGTCGAAGGGAAATCCAAACGCGCAATGGCCGAGAACGTGGAGCGCAAGCTACGGAATCTAGGCATTCAGCGAACGATATCGAACGGGTTGAGGTACCTTGAACGTGAGTTTCTGGACGGCTGGAAATTCGGCGACGTCCCTATCGGCCCAACCTTCTGCGTCGACCATTTCACGATATGTCTGTAGCGTCTGCTCCCAGACGAGGTTATATCTGAGACGGTAAAAGTTAAGATAAGGAGGGCCGGGGGTCTGGAAATGAGCACATACAGATCCTCGTTGAATGCTGGAGCTATTACTCGTCGGTGCCTTCTCCATGTATCGCCTTCAGAAGCTGAAAGGTTCATACCCCATAGTCTACATGGCTCCGTGTCAGATACATGGATAGTACTCGAACGTAGGCCATACAGAAACAATCGACTGGTCTCTTGGGGTTTGAAGAACGACGACTTGCGGCCTTCCGTTGTAACTTGACGGGCGATGTCGATATTCGAAGTGTATATTCCGGCGGGGCCAAGGAGCCAGGGGACAACAGAGAAGCTTTCGTTCTGGAAATTCCGATATACTGCTCCAATGCAGACACCATCAGTAGGAACACCCTTGGATAGACCAGGGCGTATGTACCGTCGAAGCGTCTGCGCCACGGAAACTCCAAGCCCATGTTCCACCATGTAGTCGGCAGAAGGACCCCAGGGACGTAGATAGGCCAAAATGGAATCCTGTATCCTGGAAGGTAGCTCACCGCCTATATTTCTGGTCAGCATCAAGCCCTTGTCTGGCGTTCCAGCCTCGTTATGGCTCAGATGCCAGGTTTGTCTATATACGTACCTTGAGCCCTTTGATGAATTTCGCAACCCGCGAGAGTAGGAAGATTGACAATAAAGCGACAAGGAAGTTGGTAGCATTGACCATCATCCTGAAGGTGGTCGTCCGGGTGGTTTGTGCCTCTGCGTCCGCCTCCTGCAAGGACTATCAAGCCCTCCATCAGCTAGCCTAGAAGACGTCTAGAGTTACACATGGTAGTAGTGAGATTGAAGCCTATTGCTGGAAGCGATCACAAACCCGGTTCCCCCTGAACGATGTCGAAGCACAATTTTTACTTTCTTGACCCGACACCATCCCACAGACAAGTGAACGCCTCACGCGGCGGATTTCAGCTTCGGAGCCTCTACATTTTACGACGCGTGAATGTCCGTATGGTCTGTTATGCATTTATGCCCCAAGTTCAGCCCGAGTGTCTCGCGTGTGCCCTCAATCGGACATGCCGGCTACCCAGCGGACCCGAACTATGTCTGACGCAACTATCGCAGTCAGGACCGCGGATGTGTAGAGGCGATAAATTCGCGCTCACCGTGTGTTGGCTGACGATGCTACTCCGGGAATGGCGCGTTGAGCGTATGTTCAAACCCGGCGAGACAAAGGGAATGGCGAAGACAGGTCTTGGTTTGTCCTCACGCTGAGGAGGAAGATGGCGTAAACACTGTAATAGCCTGTGTGTAGCCGTCAAGCTTCAGCTTCAACGTTCAACTTGTAGCTACACGAATTGAGATTTTCCCTTGGTTAGACTTTAGGCGAACATTTACATAAGCGCGCACCATGTGTTCAATGGTGATCCGTTGGGCGTAGTGCTCCCGTACTTTATGAACGAACAACCATGGAGTTCACCCCACTAGACCAGATCGACAAGGTTCGTTCCTGCTTGATTCTACTACAAGGCCATCGAGGCTCGATTGTCGCCCACAGATCCACGTTGAGCTTCGTTCCGGTTTCAACTCCGGCAAACTCAAGTCCCTCGCGTACCGGAAGTACCAAATCTTGCAACTCGGCTACCTCGTTCAGGACAATGCGGAGCGGTTCAATGATGCATTAGCCTCAGACTTGGGAAGGCCAACTCTCGAGAACAACTTGTACGTCGATCTATGTTGCTGTACGCCGAGACTTACCACGTAGCTCGCAGCTTGGAAATTGGGCCGAGTATTGGGGATACAAAGCAGGCGTATCAGAATGTCGAGAAATGGTCCAAGCCAGAGAAGCCAGCGTTCAGCTTAAACTTCACCGCCATGAGGCCAGTCGTGCGTAAGGAACCCAAAGGAGTTGTGTTGATCATCAGTCCTTTCAATTATCCTCTGTGGCTCACAATCGGTCCAGTGGTGCGTAATCTCCTTCTCAAACGATCTCCACGTTGACGGTATTGACAGGCGGGTGCCCTCGCTGCCGGCAACGCTGTGGCCATTAAACCCTCAGAGAACACTCCCGCCGTCAGCAGCCTTCTTGCTGAGCTTGTGCCCAAGTACCTCGACCAAGATCTAGTTCGCGTCGTTAATGGCTCTATTCCAGAGACTACAAAGCTGCTCGAGCTGCAATGGGACCACATTCTTTACACGGGCAGCGGACGAGTCGGCAAAATCGTTGCTGCTGCTGCTGCGAAGCATCTCACACCAGTCACGCTCGAGTTGGGGGGAAAGTCCCCGGTTGTCATCGACCCGAACTGCGACCTTGAGACAGCCGCGCGCAGGATCTTGTGGGGGAAAGTTGCCAACGCGGGCCAGACGTGTGTTGCACCCGACTACATCCTTGTTCCCAGAGACTTCCAAGACACCTTCGCAGACGCCCTCAAAAACACGTGAATGATTCATGCAGTCCCCACTTCGACCCTCCCGTTGCTCACTTCATTTGATAGGTATGATAAATTCTACCCAGAGTCGGCTAAGCCCTCGGTCAGCGGCGCATATGCGCGTTTGATCACGCCTCAAGCGTTCACTCGCGTCAACGCGTTGCTGAAAGGGACGAAGGGAACGGTCGTGTTTGGTGGTGAGACGGATGAAGCCACGAAATACATTCAACCGACTGTGGTGAAGGACGTCCAGCCGGATGATACCTTGATGAGCGAGTAAGTCCTGGATTTTCTCGGTTCCCGCAGCCTCGTATCGACCCGCCTAGGGAAATCTTTGGCCCTATCCTACCCATCGTCCCAGTGAAAGACATTGACGAGGCAATTGCTTTCATCAATGCACGGTGAGTGACGCGCATTTGATGTCTTGACCATGCTAACAACTCGTTATTCAGCGATCATCCACTCGCCCTTTATGTCTTTTCCTCCGACAACGCTGTTAAAGCCAAAGGTCTGTGAGACCTACCCCGAACAAGGCGAGATTCTGACCTTACATAGTTTTCGACAACACTCAGAGTGGCGCCGCAATCGCCAATGAGGTTTTAATACATCCCGGCGGTATGTGACTAGACGTATCTCTATGAGAAGATGATATATTTCTTTCTCCTAGTCGACGGCCTGCCGTTCGGAGGGATAGGCCCCAGCGGATGTAAGTCGACGTCGTTCCGTTAATATGTCTCAGTCATTCACGGACTATAGCCGGTTATCACACTGGAAAGTACACGTTCGATATATTTACCCATCTACGCGCTTCTATGGACTCGCCGAGCTGGTAAGCGTCTATACTCGTCGACCATATCTATATCTAAGCATATTAACGAATACCTCAGGGTTGACAAGATCCTCGCTGCGCGCTATCCGCCGTACACGGTGAGCCATTGAAGTCATTCCGGACATCAGGCCCTCGCTTACCCACGTTTGACATTCACCAGACGAAGAAGGTCAACGCAGTACGCAAGTTGCTGTTCGCCCGCCTGCCTGCACGTCCAAGCGGACCTCCTCCAATCGGCGTAGCGTCTGGCAAAAAACGGTGGGGTCGCTGGTTCTTGGTAGCTACGGCTATTGCTCTGGCGAGTTTTCTGACGAAGCGATCCAAGGCCTTGACGGGGTCTTCGTAATTTAACACTGGGTTGTGTTTTACGAGGATATGAAATGTGCGGGAAAGTCTCTGCGAGTACACACCCCTTACTGGATATCTTCAAAGTACAGTCTTCTCTGTTTTCGGTACCTTGTCTTGCTGTCTAGTCCACTGTTCGTCCGTCTTTTCGCCTCGGTCTCGACCTGGCGACAGTGCATCTCCATGAGCTTTATTTGATTTTAATGACCGCTGGAACTTTGTACAGCCATCTTTCATCGAGCCTCTATGATCATGGACGATCGATAATCCGCATGGACCAGTACGCTCGCTTTCAGGTATGTCCTCCGTTGCTCACCATTAACCTCGTCGTACTGACGCAGAACGGCAGGTTTCAGCTTAGAACTGTTGTCCATAGCCATCACGCTCCCTAACGATACAGGACAACGGTCGCGTACGTCAGGACAAGGTTATCAACTGATCGGTACTATTCATTGTTCGTTCCATTGCACAGCTGGCCTCTCAGTCAGCGTTTCATGAGATCGCTATGATCTTCGCAGCGGAATAGAGAACCTTGAGGCAGCTTACAGTGCGGTGCCTTTTCTCGAACCATGCAGACCGTACGAAAATACTATTTGTAGACCGTCCGTTGGTAACCTTTGGCTCACACCTGCCTCCTCTGGTCGTCATTGCAGTGGGACTCGCTGTCTCCGCGATCCACTCTAGCGTCTAACTGCGCGCCCATCAACAGGTTTCATGCATAAGCGCTGTAATAATTTCCTAATCAAGCAATTTTCTCCAGGGACCTCGGCTTATCATGATATGCGAGTCAGTTCAGGCGGTGCCCTCATTTCTATTGCTGACCCCTCTGGATACAGCGCAGCAGCTTTGGCTGACTGAAGGCCGTTCCCAGCAGCACCGACCTGCTCTCCAGTCTACGCGAAGCGAGGTTCTTCGTCATCGTCTGGCTCCTGGGCGAAGTGCGCTTAAAGGAACCATACCCTCTCTCCGTCCCGAAACACCTATATTTATCCTACGCTGCGGCTGTTAGCGCCAGTATTATAAGTGAGTCCGAGGTCGTGCGTCTCCTCCCGCATCCTTCTCATTCTTTCCTCCAGTTCACGATGTCTTCGCCATTCGTGTACACCCCTCATCCGTCGTACATGCTAACTCAGTACCTCGATCCAGCATACGGCCAGCAGCAGGCGTCCCCGTTCATTCCTAGCGCATCCCTCTACCCAACATCCCCCTACGCCAATTCGAATGACCTACCCAACGATCCCGGGACTCCCAACACTCCCAGGCGGGTCCACTTTGGTGATGAATTCGGCGACCCATTCGGTACGCACGCGAGGCAGCGTCGGCCGTCGTGGTCTGGGCCGCCCCCGCACAGCAGCCCAGGCATCGTACCCGTTGTATTCCCCCCATCTTCGCCCTTCACACCGACGTCTCCTTTCCTTGGGCCTCAACCCCAACCCCCCTACTACCAGCGTCGGCACTCTTACGGTGCTTATGGGCAACAGCAGCCGATATGGGGCGCAAATGTGCCGGCTTGGAGTCCCTACGCCATGAGCCCTGGGCCGGGCATGCTTCCGCCACAGTGGCAAGCCGTGCAGCCGACCGTTTTGCAGATTCACCCTTGGCTCAACGGGGAATCTCCTCGTGGAGACTTTATATTTGATCTATCGGCGGCAACGTATGCGCCGCTACGTCTAGTTGGCCCAGGACAAAGTCAGCCTATACCATGGGAGGATTTGAAGCAATCGGCAACTCACCCGCCGATTACTCGTCTGCTCATTACTTGCGATATGATCCCTCAGTGGCCGATCAAGCTCGAGTTCAACCCGTACTTCGGTGCCGGTCCTAATGGCGGACATCTACCACCTCACGCCGCTCCGCCGATTAGCGTGCACGACATCCTATTGCAGATACACCAGTCCCTCAATCAGAGGATCTCCCACATCGACTGGGCAAAGTTGTCGATGGCTGAAGAGAAAGCTGTTTCGCGGGCGTACGCTCATCGATGTCGTCGGTCGGGTACTATGGAGATGATTGAAAGGGGGAATGGGATCAAGCGCGTCGACTTTTTATTGGACAAAGTGTTTTTCAAGGGGCTCGTGCGGACGGGCGAGAGTTGGGAATCGATGAAACTCATCACTGGTTGAACACTACTTGCACTGTTTCTTGATATATGTATGTGTATAGAACTCGCTGGGAGGACTTCATGATATGTATGTAGTAACGTCAATAAGAATTCAACCTATCAGACGATTGTCAAGATGTAAGTCAGTACATTCGATCGATCAATATTCCTCGATCGCAACATTCAACTTGTGGATGGTGGAATAGTGCTTGCCGTCGGCACGCTTGAACTTGGCTAGCACGTTGCCCGGTGTTAAGAAGTCGAGGCAACGGGTGAATATGCTCCCGCTGTTCATATGCGTGGTACGGTGATGTTGGTGCCTTTACCGTCTTTACGAAAGCGTTGGGACATGGTGATAATTCTTATGTTTTTCCTAGCTACTTTCGTTGTATTTCTACATGTGCTAGTCTATCTGTCTATGTCTGTTGTTTTTAGGGGCTTCCAGGAGCATTTCGGCACGTGATTGAGAACGGCAAAGCGCCCGCTGTTCAACGTTCAACGTTCAACTATCACCACCACACCATCGTACTCCAGGACCCTGGTTAATAGGTCAGCCCCCTGATCCGATTTCAGACATTTTTGAGCGGCTGAAGGCCGCTCGGCCTGAGGACTTTCAGACATTTTACGCCCAAAAAGGTGAAACACCCTGGTCCTTTTTTCGGACATTTTTGGGATTTGGTCCCTAGGCGGGATCCATTTTCGGACATTTTCAGTGGAGGTGCCGACGTTGGGTTGCTCGTCATACATTGTGTGTCGTGTATCTCAAGAACATCGGACTGCATCTGACTATGTTTACAGTTGTGGTGCTATATGCCAAAGGCGGCGGTAAGAATGGTCGACATGTGTCACAATCAGAAGCCTTCAATGTTGCCGCAATGTCATGGATAGGCTTGAAGGGCGGCGATTTAGCAGCATCACGGATACAACATCGCATTTCCTTACTCGTCACTTTGCAACCCTTCCCTCGCTCGCCTTCTTGTCCAGGCTCAAGGATGCCCCGTTAAAACCTGCAAACTCAAGTAGCAACATGGAGATGGAGTTGACGGAGCAAGACTGGGAAGTATATAGGCAGTTATATGCATCGAAAGCGAAGCTAGCAAAGGTAATGGTACTATCAAGGAAGAAAAATAAGACTGCATGGTTATTGGACGATTCGGAAGGGTAGAATGGGAGCTACGTGTGTGGGGGAGTCTGTATACACTGTATAAAGCTTTCGTGAGGCATCTACTAGCCTTGTAGAGCCCACGGGATGCCTAATACCATATTTCAGACATTTTGAGAGCCCCAGAAGGCCTGAACCGAAAATTCAGACAAATTGTGAGGCCCGCAGGGCCTCCTCTGAAAAATGGACATTTCGTCGAAATTTGGGAAGGGCCGGGTTCAAATCAGACACTTTCGGCCTATATCCATTCAGACATTTTGGGCCTTGCTGGATCAAGCCTTCACGGTCATAAACCAGGGTCCTCGTACTCCCTGCCTCTTGTCGCCGGGCCAGCATCGGCCTCGGGAATGGTCGTGGAGACGGCCATATTGCTCAAGCGATATTAACTTCACCAGGCGGTTGCCATCTCGTGGTGAAATGTGGAATAGTTTCGCACATGCCGGCTGGTGGCCAGGCCAGGCCAGATGCTTTATGTCTGCCCCAGGGTTGCTCAACGGTTTCTTCAATGGATATTATTCAGTTTTCCCAAAGTAACTTCCTCGTTCTGAATACGTGCTGAGACGCTAGTTCCTGCATTGGCAGCGCTCAGCCGCAAAGTGAAACGAAAGTCACATATGGAAATAAAGGAATGCACACCCTGCGGGGTTGTAAGAGTGTGACGATGGTGAGAATCGATTTCATCATTACATCGTTAATGTCCACTTCATCTAGACATATGCGGGGCACCACATGTCTAGCATCAGCCACATTGCATGGCGGTGTCTCTCTGGCGCGCACGCGTATTGGCTGTCTCCTCTTCTTTTCTACACGGTTGTCGGACGCCGTCAGTAAAACCGTCAATCTGGCACCTCATGGGAACAAATCCTCGGAGTCTCACAGTTTGGGCCATAATAGTCGTCGCTTTTCGACACATGTTAGCAATATCGGGTCGTGTCTTGGTCGCGAAGGCCATCGAGCAAGAGTTCTTTAACGTTATGCTCATGTCACCCCAGAGAACACCGGGATTACCTACGGCTGGTCCAAAGAATCGTTCGTCTCCTAATTCTTGTAAAAGTTTCTGGCGCGAGAGCGACGCGACGCGCGGTTACGCCGAAGCCGCAATGACGCAAAACTTATTCGCTCTACTTGGCTCGACTGTCAAGAGTTCCGACGGAACTCTTGACAACCTATTCGCTCCATTTCGCTCCTGACCGGGGCCCATGGGCTCTTCTTCAGGGCTGCTGATCGGGACGCAACTCGCTCAGTGTAAGTACGGCCTCAAAATTTCTGAGAGTGAGGTAACAAGGCCTTGAGCCACTTTCGTGTTTTTATTCCACGAAGTCCAACACCAAGCACCCCGACGCCCACCGCGATCTTCCGACAAAGAGTCGTACTTCCAACACCACAGAAGTTAATTATAAACCGGAAAGGCAAATAGATTATTAGTGAGTACAAGCTCCGCGCATAATTGTTGTTGACGTTTTGATCGGAGGACCGATTGGCCCGCTAGCAACAACATAAGCGATAGCTTACAAAAAATCTCTTGACATCATGAATAATTAATAAAGGTCCGTCGGAAGAAACTTCCAAACAGTATACGTACATCCATTGACCTTGTCTCATTGGTTCGTCCAGTTTGCCACGAATTTGCAATATAAAGGATGGCGGATGCAGCATATGAGTGAAAGTTCTGACAACCGCTCCCTATCCTTGACGCTCCATGGCTGTCAACCTTTTCGCTCGTTTCGCGACGCTCTGCACCCTTGCGGCCCTTGTCTGTGGCCTCCCCTCTCTGGAGGCTCGTGGTCCTGATCCGATATGCAAACAAATTGAAGACACGGTCTCTTCAGCGAGTGATGTTTACTATCCAGGTCAGTTATTGCGATGCTTTCGCGTTGTCGCAGAATCTCACCCATTCCCTCACAGGCCAGATACGTTATACACGAGGGATCAAGCATTGGGCGTCATCGAGCACCCAGCACGCGAAATGTGTTGTAGAACCTGGCACACCCGAGGACGTCGCGGTAACTGTAAGAGTAGATCATCATCGTTTGATGTACATTGGTATTGACCGCAGATCATCGATCATTATGCAGCTTCAAATTGTTGGATCAACGCGGACTCCCTTCGCCGTTCGTATTTGTAATGTCTTCCCTGAACCACTCCACTAATCCCTGGTTACGCCCATAGGTGAAAGGTGGCGGACATGCGTCAAACCCTGGTTTCTCTTCGACAACAGGCGTGCACATTACCATGACCCGGTTCAATCAGGTAGTCTACGACCAAGCGGCGCAAACAGCTACCGTCGGCGCAGGACTGGTGTGGGACGATGTCTACAGCGCGCTCGAGCCGTACGCAGTAAACGTCGTTGGCGGACGCGTCACCAATGTCGGCGTGGCAGGGTTTACATTGGGCGGAGGTGCGTATCACAGATCGTTTCCATATCAGAACCAGTTGCTCATGCAAGTTGAAGGTTACTCGTGGAAGAGTAACCAGTATGGGCTCACGGTCGACACAGTCACGGCCTATGAACTTGTCAAGCCCGATGGTGCCATTGTTACCGTCACCCACGATTCCGATCCGGATCTCTTTTTCGCTCTGAAGGTACGTTATCACTTATTCAATTTCATCAAGATGCAAGTCACTAATCTATATTCGCGTCGTAGGGCGGCTTCAACAATTTTGTGAGTCTCTGCGGGACTACCAAGACAAGCATCACTAACAGCCCCCAAGGGTATTGTCACGAAGTTCACGCTCAAAACGTTCCCTCAAACACAAGTCTGGGTAAGATCGAGTTCCTCTCAAGTTGCCAAGCTTGAGTCTAATTAGTAGCGAACAGGGTGGCTTGATTACATACACGAGTTCCCTCATCTTGATGCAATCAACGCCGCTACGGCCAAATTCTCCAACGAAGTCATCGACCCCAAGGCGTCAATCATCACCACCTACAACTTTTTGATCGGCCAAGTACGATATCTTTTTGTATCCTATGCACCCATGACTGACCGCAGGGCACATGCAGCCTGGTGTGTCGTTATTGCTTTTCTACGATGCGCCTACACCCCCAGCTGGCATCTTCGATGACTTCCTTGCAATCCCCCATTTCACCAAGGACATTAGCACTCGATCGTTCTCGTCCCTCGTACTGGCATCGCCTTCAGATGCAACCGCAGGACAAAGGTCAGACCCTAATCAATGAAAGCTGAGGTTTCCGTACTAACTTCTCAACTAGGGGTGCCTTCCATACCGTTCCCCTGGTATCCTTTTCGGAAAATCTCCTCAAAGCCATTGTGAATGAGTCTGTTGTACGTGTCCCCTACTTCACGGTCTGCCGCTGTTCTCAATCTCGATCCTCGCAGTTCTGGGGCACCCGACTCGGCTGGAAGACAGCTTCGTTCATTTCATACGACGTCGAGCCTTTCCTTCCGACTATCCTCGCTCATGGCACCGCGGCTACGGCGTATCCACCTGCGAGAGAGCAAAGTTTCTTGCCTCTCAATCTCTATTTCGCCTGGGGTCTCGAAATCTTCGACTCCGATTTCCATGATGCCATCAAAGCGAGTGCTGCAAACATCCGCCGGTTGGCCATTGCTGAAGGCCAAGCAAGCATTGTAGATGCACCTCACTACGGCAACTACGCTCTCTTCGATACCCCACTATCTGATATCTACGGTGCAAACCTACCGGCGTTGCAAATTATTAAGTCAGCTATTGATCCCACCAATGTTATGGGTCTTGCTGGCGGCTGGAAGCTGTGATCAGCAACCGCCAAGTCGCATCTTCTTTCGTTCTCGCATAATTTGATTCTACTGTATCCTTACCTGGGCATCTTCGGACTTCTTTCGATTTTCGGTACACTCCTTTGTTTCGTTCTCTTCGTTTCATAAACTATAAGCATCCTTGGGATATTACCAACCTATTATAGCACCATCGCTCGGCCGTTTGATGTTCTGCTTGATTATTTAATATAGCACAAGCAGATATGACATTTAGGCGTCACGAAGGTCCAGATATTTTGCATTCAAATATTCAGAGGCTTTGTCTCAGATTATTGTGCTTTCGCACGTTCTACCACTGTTGGATGTCCGATACAAGCTGAATGAGGCAAAATTTCCACTTTGATAGTAGACGCAAGATTTACGACCACTTTACGGCCCCGCCATATGGCACAATCTACCCATTGAAGCCACAGCAAGCGTTATCAACACCATCTCTTTCAACGACGTGTCAAACTCTCTGCGAAAGCAATTATCTTCGACACAACCTCCAAACGTATTAGGTGGCTACACTGAACACGATATGTGATAGCCAAGCCCTTCTTCGTCGACTTATTGGGATAAACTCAACATATCTACGACCTCCACACGACGATACATGTGGTCTGCTGAACACTTATTGACTTGGCGGAGAGCCCAAGACACGGCATGTTGATGAAGGATAATTTTCGGTATATCATTAGTATCTCTTGAATCCAAGGTCCAGCCGCTGATGCACAGTAGGATGTTCACTGTGTCGTTGCTGGATATGCCATTCTCGGGATTCAGGATCGCGTTTATAAAGCCATACCTATAACGCGGCGTCGCAGCCCTGATCTGCCTGCAACTCGTCGCGTCGTCGCGTCGATATGATACACCAAATGCCTTCAAATGATCCTCGCCGACCTGACCTTCACATGGAAGAGAAGTCCGGAATTTGACGTACTTTCTTGTTCAGAAGCGTGGTGCGAAGATACGTGGTGCTGTGCGATAGAAGCGACTCTACGTTTCGGAGTGGTTATTTGGATGGGATTAGTGAGGAGGCTAGTTCTGTTGTCTGGTAAGATCACTGATACAGAACACCTCCTCCACATGTCTAGGTGTTGAAGCCATGCGCATCCCGTTGGGTTCTGTTCTTGGGAGGAGCAAGGAATTCGTCTTCGGCACTCTGCCAGAACAAAATGCCTCAAACGCAGCCTCTGGTCAGTGCTATAAAAGCTAGCGTAAATGTCTGGTATACTCCAGAGTCTTCAGATCTCTAGAAAGCTACCGTCTCAACGATTTCAGCACAATGCTCCTCTTCTCCGTTCTCACTCTCGGGCTCGCTAGTACAGCGTTCGCCACACCCTTCAAAAGGTCCGGTGGCCTCACCGTCAAATTGTCGACGCCTACCACCTCCGTGAATTCTATCGAGGACCTTACTCTCGTCGCCGAAGTGACCAACACGGGGACTGAAGATGTCAAGGTCCTTAAGTACGGCACCGTCTTGGACGATAGACTTCCTACTCGCGCCTTCGCTGTCACGAAAGACGGCGTCGACGTGCCGTTCACCGGCATCAGAGTGAGTTGTTATGAATCCTCGATTGCCATTCTTTGACGTATTCGCCCCCAAGATTCAAGTATCTCTGGCTGATGCTGACGAAACCGCGTACACTACCATACCCGCAGGCAAATCAGTGACAGTCAGCCACGCAGGTGAGATTAACCGCTGATTGAAGGAACACGGCTTGATATATTTCTGATAGTGGCACCTTTGTTCGACTTTGCCTCTGTCGGCACCGGTAAATTCTCTTTCGAGACCCTCTCTACGTTCCAGGTTGCAGGCATCGCAGACAGAGTTGCGAGTATCACCGACCTGACCAAAGTAGAGACCGCCACAGATGCGGTTGCTGTCGAAGTGACCGCTGATGTCAAGAAGCGCGACCTCCCCGAACGCAACAAGCGTGCCGTCAACATCTGCTCTACCAGCTCCCGCAGGACTTTCATCGATGCCAGCTACTCCGAGGCCAAGACGCTCGCTTCTTTGGGTTCCTCGTACATCAGCAGCCGCGGCACCGGCGATGCTCTCTATCGTGCTTATTGGAAGACCAACAGTGCCTCGAGTGTTACTTCTATCCTCAACGCTGTGGCGAACGAAAACTCTGGTTCTAGAACGTATGACCATATCTACATCTACAAGTCGTGATGCTAATTTATAACGTACCTCTAGCCTCAGTTGCACAGACAGCTTGGGCGCATGCAGCAGTGGTGTCATTGCCTACACTGCGACCGCGACTACCAATGTCAGTGCGACCTCGAGACACTTAGTAGCTGGTGTACTAACGGACAGTAAATTCAGATTTACTTCTGCGGCATCTTCTTCAACGAAGTCGCGAACGGCAACTTGTGCTCTGGTACATCCGTCGCTTCCCGCAACGTCCGCGGCGGCACTACCCTCCACGAAGTACGTGAGCGGGGTTGGGCTTATGCGAAACGTCCCAGCTAATGTTGACTAGCTGACACACGCTGTTGGAAGAACTACTGACGTTGGCTATGGATGCGCTTTTGACCAGGGTTTATCTGCTGCTCAATCCATCCGAAACGCCGATAACTTCAATGTAAGGCATACCTCCCATTCTACACTGAACTCGTCTCATGCCAGAGTCACAGTGCTTCACTACTCAGGTCTACGCCAACACCAGATGCTAGACGTATAAGACGGCCGATGACCGCCCAGAATAGGGATGATGTGATTGGTACAGATTACATGTGTTGACCTAGTTAACATGTACATCGGCTCTTGCCTCTCTCTGCCTTCAGTGTTTCAGCGCCGTTCTCCCTAACAGTAACACCAAGCGACTGTAAGGCTTCTTCACAAAAGATGGTAGTATTCAGCGAATTCGTCATCTCCTTCTTCTTTCGCGCTCAGCTCAACAATTCCTCTGATGCGCAGGGCCGCCTCCTTCCCGACGAGATATTCTAGGAAGGCATTCGCCATGTCCATCCCTTCCTCGCTGTCAGACGAAGCACTACCGCAGTACGGACAACATACCCGCCGTGACCCCGGAACTCGTCCAGATTTTCTTGTCGTCGTTCACCACAAATCGTGCTTTAGGAATCCAGTCGATCCCGTACCCATGGATATTTTCCTGTGCCGAAGTAATGTCGATTGGCTGGTCATTTGTCGCTTGCGAGACAACTTACTACAACAGCCTTGAATACTGACTTGTTGGTGGTGGCTTTCTTGCCTTGCAAAAGGCCGGCTCGCGCTAGAATCCACGATCCAGTGCAAACAGACAGAACATGTTTGGCACCTGGTGCTTGACGTTTGAGAAATTCGAGCAGGGAGGAAGGAACTTTCTCCGGACGAGCACCCTGACCTGAGAGTGTATTGGCAGTCCATATCTCGTAAATACACTAGCCATCGATGAAGTAGACTCACCCCCGGGAACCAAGATTAAGTCGAATTGTTCGCCATCTCCCACTTCATCGTATGTTCGATCTGCGAGTGCTCGAGGACCTGCCGTGGCCTTGATGGGCTCAAGAGTGCGTGCTAGGTATGTGATTTCGAGCAGGTACGATGGAGTAGGAACGTCGGGCTTGACGTTATTTGGGTCCAAGAATCCGAGAATTTCTATAGGGCCCTGGTAATCCAGTGCTGTAACTTGATCGAAGAGGCAGACAGCAAGACGGAGAGTAGTTGGTGAAGAAGCCATGGTGTCGAAGATTGCAGAAGTCCTGTGCAAATATTGGAAGCTCACATAACTACTAGTAGGGTCCGGTGTAAACCTGTGACCGGTCAAGACCCCGTCCGGGTGAGAGATTTCTCAAATCGACACCTCATGATCTTGCGTATGTCAAATATTGTAACCTCACAAGCTAGGGTATTTTTGACTCAATCCAACATTGAGTGCACTATGATAATACGATTCAGGGATCAGTAGACTACAGCAGTACTACAGCTTCCTACAGCCGAGTTGGCAGCCCCTATATTAGTATGAGCATTTAATCCAGCACGTGCCCTGCACGCGCTTCGTGTGAAATTCGACGCGCCCAGCGAGTCTGACTACATCGCGTCCGACAACGAGTCAACGACCGACGCGCAGAATGCACGGACGTCTCGCCCATCTGTAGTGCTCTTAAATTGCCCATTTATTGCTGAAAATGCCGAACAATCCCTCTGCTGCTCACGCTCGCCTTCCCCGCCCGCTTGTCGTCAGTGGGTCCATCATCGAGATATCAGATTCAGAAGACGACTATGAACACATTGGCTGGCCTTCTCCATCTCAGAAGGCTCCACTCAAGGTTGCATCAGGGGCACTGGACAATGGTGCCACTCCGGCGGCACGAGACAAAGCAGTACCTCCAGAACGTAAGGGTGAAAACGCGCCACCCCATGCAGTAGCGACTCTCTCGCAAACACCCTCGATTCAAGTGCTCATGGAGCCCCCGAAACCCGATCTCGTTATCCCCCAAGACCAACTCCGGCAGGTTCTCGAAGTCGTACCAGACGTACAGCCTGAGTACGCTCAGGAGCTTCTGACGGAATCCAAGACGGTTGAAGCCACGCTGAACGCTCTGTTCGAGAATCCAGCATATCCAAAGGTTGACAGGAAGGGAAAGCGGAAGGCTGAAGACCCTATGGGCAAGGAGAGGGGACAGCCGAAACCAAAGATTGATTATTCGACCACGGAGAGGCCAACTCTCGGCGGGCCATACTATTATGAGCTGGCGTTGGTACGTATACCCCTGTCTCAGAGTCTTATCATCTCATGTCCATCTAGGAACAACTCCAAGTCGACTTTCCATTAATCCCCAAACCGTACATTCGATCAGTGCTTCTACTAAAGAAAGGATTATACGTTCCTGCGCATCTACAGCTTCTCGTAGACTCAAAGCTCCCGATTCTACCCTACAAGCGTAAGGTTATAGCCTACCGCTCGAAAGGTAAAGCACCGTTAGTGGAGGATCCTGACTTCACCACCGAGCGCGAATGGCTTGTCCACAAGCTCCAAGAAGGCGCACTGGTGCCGAACGCAACGGGTTCGTCCCAGCAGTCCATTACACCAAGCGATGTCGAGGACGGCATCGAGTGCGGCTGTTGTTTTACTTCATACCCCTTTGTATGCATGCTCTTTCTTTTAGCCGAGCCTCACTCATCCACCTTCAGGAAAAAATGGTACAATGTCCAGATGCTCATCTCTTTTGCTCGGAGTGCATGGTTTCATACGCAGAGAACCTACTAGGCTCACACAACCCCAATATCGTATGCATGGACCAATCCGGGTGTAAACTCGCCTTCCCGGATTCAGAGCTACGACGTTTCTTGGATGATAAACTACTGGAGCTATATGAACGCGTTAAACAGCGCAAAGAGATAGAAATGGCTGGGTTAGAGGGGCTGGAGGAGTGTCCTTTTTGCGAGTACAAGGTAGTTATTGAGAATCCAGAGGAGAAGCTATTTAGATGTGAAAGAGAAGAATGCGGCGCCGTTAGCTGTCGAGCGTGTAAGAAGCTGGTCAGTGCTTTCCATGATCTTCCTGCTTTCGTGTCATAATATTGTGCATAGGATCATCTACCGAAGAGTTGCAAAGGTAACGTCTGATCTCGTCCCTTCACAGCAGTACACTGAGGGACACCCCGAACGTGACAGAAATGGAGGCTGAGAAATTGCTGGACGGACGTCACGCCATCGAAGAAGCTATGAGTGGGTTCCCCGCTCATACCCGTCGTACCACAAGCTAACGATTTCTGTCCAGCCCAAGCCCTGTTGCGAAATTGTCCCAAATGCGAGAAAGGTACGATTGCTCCCACGTCTCGAATGATATTCCTCGTCCTTATGACCCGATTGTTCAAGCCTTTATCAAAGAAGCTGGAGTAAGCTCGCCACAAAACACTCGCGCTACCTTGTGTGCTGACCCTTCTGTTATAGTGCAACAAGATGACATGCCCGAACTGCCGCACTCTGTCGTGCTATGTCTGTAGGAAGGTTATCACCGGCTACGAACATTTCAACCAGAATGTACGCTTTCTTTCCTCCCCTTATCTCTCACACAACTGAAGTCACCGCAGCCTCATGCTCCTCAGGCAAGTGCGAACTCAAACAAATGTCTTCTGTGGGATCAAGTAGAACAAAGACACGCTGACGAGGTACCCTCGAGCCCCTTCCAAACCCTTTCCACATCCTGACTCTATCATTTTATCAGGTCAAAGCCGCCGCAGAACGTGCTACCGAGGCCTATCGACGTGACAATCCAGATGTAGCACAGGAGGACATCAAGGTCGATCTACCAGCTGCACCGAAAGCCCCTGCTCCTCTGGCTATGCAGGCCCTAGTGGTTCCCCGTCTTGATCTTCCGATTCCCGCGCGCCCACCGCTTGACGTCGGCGCGCTGGCCGCAGAGATATTCAACGAGCATCGTATGGGCGCGGCACAAAGAGATCAGATGATAAGGCAATGGGCGGGTCAGCAGCATGTCCCAGCGCCCATGCCACAGCCCATCCTCAGGCTCCCTGCCGTAGCAGTACCACCGCAACGTATTCAGGTGCTGCCACATATTCCGAGAGCCCCTCCCGTTCAACAGGCTGCTATTCCGAGAGCTAGACGTCGCAGGAGATGAACGCTGTATATCATCTCGGTTGTGGCCCCGTGCATTCTCGAACCACCAATCCTATGGCCGCTAGCGACACCGTGTATTTAATCACGACGTGCAAGCGGGATAATTTATATCATACTGTACATGCTTACCTATATAGATAGGCTATGCAACAATTTCTGCCTTACGTGTATTCCCCTTCTTTACTATGCCACAGATGTGCTTAGGCTTTTGAACGATTCGATTCAGCAAATATATTTATCGAGATTGAATTGATGAGGTGAGTGAAACAGTGTCGCTCGTCTTGTCTTGCTCACGAAATACCTAGCTTATAGATTTCTACAACGAAGATTAAATATTTGAATGGTCATGAGTTCCGCCCGACAAGTGAGCTTAGAAGACTAATATTACCTGCGACGCAATAAGCTGTGTACCGCCATCAACTGTTTGCTCCACCCTATAGCATCGTAGACTTAGCTAACGACCATGGTCGTTATATCGAGCCGTCGATGCCATGCTTCTTTATCGTGCACAGGCGACGCCAACGCCAAAAAATACGCTCTGCGCCCCTTCGTTGCCTGAAGAACGTGCTCCGTACAGCCTCATGAGCATTCACTTGGGAACCCCGATTGAGCAACCCCGATTGAGCTGTTATGCAACTTCAGCATGTGGTACAGTGATAGACACCCCGAGTTAGTATGGCAGTGCTACGGTCTTCGGCTGTCCTGGATGCCCCGCTGGGAACGTTGCTGTTGAACACCGGCGAGAACGAACGCTGTATTGCAATTATATCCGATCCTGTCTCAGCAGAGAGGATACTCCAATATGCGATCTTCATGGAGGGGAGAAGGGGAGAGTGTGAATCGTACTATTCGGAAGTGGCTTCAAGCTAGGATGTAAAGCTGCGGGCGCCAATAATTACGGTAGGTCCATGGCAATTTTGGACTCGGAGGCTGTGATTCAAGGGCCGACTCGCTCCTGACAACCCCATTGGCACTGCAACTGGTCTTCTGTATAAAGGCTGATGGATGATGGTCGTACGTGCTGGTTTCATACATCTGTATCACACCCATTAGCGTTTAAACTTTATTACCGCAGTCTCGCCCTCAGCATGTTTGTCCCTTTCTTCACCAAACGAGCGTCAAAGAGAGAGCTTGAACGTCGTAAAGGTGGTGGCGGTCGTGGTGGCGGTTCAAGCGCAGGGGGATCCCGAGGTGGCAGCTCAAGTTCTTCATCTGGGGGTTCAAGTAGGAGTTCAGGCAGCGTCGGCGGCGGTTCGAGCGGCAGATCGTCCACTGTGTCGACGGGATCTGGTACCCGTGGGGTGAGTTCCGCTGGAAATGGTGGTGGGCGAGTCGCATCAATACCCGCCGGACAACCATTCGCAGGTCGCTCAGTTGGAGGAGGGACAAGGCAACAAGTAGTTGGCTCTGCGTGCGTGCTTTGATCTTTCGCTGGCGTGGTGCTTTCACTAATCTCGGGCCCTTGAATCGTTGGACAGGCAATACGGAAGTGGGTATCCTGGTGTAGCAGGCCGTGGCGTTGCAGGCCGTGGCTTCCCCTTCTACTTCTGGCCCGTCGCTTGGGGAGGAGCTGCTGGTGCAGGGACGGGCGCCTACTTACACACCAATGAAGTACGACAAAAAATCTCCATCTTGAATATGAATATACACTGACTTTGGTCTGATCCAGTATGGTCGACACGATAATTCCAGTCGTCCAGGCGGGGCTCAGGTTACAGCAACCTTCATATCAAACTCCAATGGTACAAACACCTTCCGCCTGATGTCAGACACTGCAACGGTGACATCGCTGATCGAGGGCATCCGGGGCAATTGTTCATCGTCGCTTGCAGCCAATAGCTCAACATCGTCATCTGCCTTCGATCCCAACGGGTTACCCAAGCCAGAACAAACTGTTCAATACTATCGTGCCAGCAGTGTCGCTCTCACGTTCGACGGCTACAATAATACTGGTGCGCTTGCCGGCGAAGGGACGCCTGATACGCCTCTACCCGCCGGGCTCGACGCCACTCTGCTCAATTGCCTGAATGCAACAATAATTAACAATGTACCCTTGGTGGATGCTGCGGACATACGGTGGTCGGCACCAAGCATCGCTCTACTGCCCTTATTCTGGATTGCATGGTTCATATCTGCGCGCCTCTAATGATACGCCTACACATTTTACTTACGGTATATGTATCATCACTGTTATTATATCCAGATCAAAAGTAGTACTATAAGCTAGTCTCGAGGTCACAGATGGACTCAAGTAATGTAGACATAGTTCGACGCTGTGAGATCCTTGTAGCAGTATCATGGAATGAGCTTCATGTCCCCTTCGCGCACCCCGAGATAGTAGACGCTATACAATACAAGAAGTGGTTCACCGTCTTAAGGGAGCCAAATCCTTAGGGGTGCTAGGGGCTACTGGAAAAGGACGGTATGCTAGATTCCAATTCGGGGGGATTTAGCCAACTGACCCATCCATGTGGTCGCCGTGTCTACTGTAATTAGAACAGATTCCTCATTAGATGTGACGGTGAATGCACACAACAGCCAATACGCAAACAGCAAGTACCATTCGTGTGTAATGTTGGGCTGTCCATCAGCTTCTCGTGACGATACAACCCGTCCAGAAGCCAAAAATACTCCAAGGTTCCAATTACTCTGTAATGCACATGTAGCGCAGAGTGATACTTGGCGTGGTGATGGATACAAAGAATACCCGGATGAACAGCTGCTCCAAAGGCCTGAAGCTTCGTGAAGCGGGTATAAAGCGTACCAATGTTGATACCTTCGAACATCCAGGATGCCATTACTGAAGAGCCCCCACTCACTGGAAGATATCTCCGATGCGATCGACACTGGTAGTTACCACCGGGTTGCCAGCAATCACCGCTTGCTAACTTGCGCCTTACCCAGTCAACCTACTTCAACTAAAAGATTGGGATACGGCACCTCGATTCGACCAAGACACAGACAAATCGAAATTTCGGCAGTTCGAAGATGCTCGCGACAGTGTCAAGGCCTTCTACAAGGAGCAGCACGGTAAGGACAACCCACCTACCATTTGCTAGAGCCTGAAGATATCACCTCAGAGAGGCAAACGGTGGAATTCAACACAAAGGTCCGAGAAGAGATGCAAGGCAATGTTCACGCACGGATGGGTGAGCTGGATAATTCTATCCTTTATCGTCGACGTGCTGAAGACTTGAATCAAGGGATATGGGAGGCGATGAACATGCTTAACACCTTGAGAGATGAATCAGATCCAGACGTCAGCACTTTAGTAGAGCTCTGCAAAACTCCCACTCACGTACTCTTCACCTTGGCAGACAAATATGTCTCAGATGGAGCACCTACTCCAAACGGCCGAAGCAATCCGAATTGATGGTAAACCAGAATGGATGCAAGTTGTTGGCTTGGTCCACGACCTTGGGAAACTTCTCTACTTCTTTGATTCTCAGTGCGTGTTCCTCCTCCTGTCGCGGTTTGTTTCTGACGTGTACGTATTAGGGGGCAATGGGATGTTGTTGGGGTGGGCGACATTTATCCATCTTCCGCTAAGAAGTACTAATTTCTTCTAGGATACCTTCGTGGTCGGGTGCCAATTCTCGGACAAGATAATTTACCCTGAGACTTTTGCTGGAAATCCGGATAGCAACGATCCGGTGTATTCCTCGAAGTTTGGGATTTACAAACCACATTGCGGCCTTGACAATGTCATGCTTTCATGGGGACACGACGAGGTTCGTACCTTTACTCCGCCTAGCTTGGGGGGAATTGACTTTTTGGTTCCTTGTTAAGTACTTGTATCGCGTTCTGAAAGATCAAAGCAGTTTGCCCGCCGAGGGCTTAGCGATGATTCGTTATCACAGCTTCTACCCGTGAGTACGAGCTCGCTGCGCACTTGTATCTGATTGAAATGTTGTAACAGTTGGCATCGTGATGGAGCCTACGAGCATCTGATGAATACTGCAGACGTCAAGTCGCTCGCGGCTGTTCAGGCGTTCAATCCATACGACTTGTATAGCAAAAGTGACATACCGGTCAACGCGGCAGAATTGAAGCCTTATTACTGCGATCTTATATCGAAATTCTTTCCGCCAGTAATCGAGTGGTGATGTGGATAGTTCGGTAGAATGCACTTTACCGCTTTACTATGAATCGATTTTATCTTATCTTATCTCTCGATGATCCTGTTCTTGAGGATGACTCGAACTCATATTTGAAGTCCTGAAAATTGTTATCGATTCCAGATCTGGCTTTCTCCATTCTTTCACGCTCACCACTTGTAGCATTATCTAAATCGTTCGCCAGAACGATGAGCTCGATGCCACAATTACCTCACATCCCTGGCACGGACCCGTCAAGTTGCGTATTTGACGCATTCCGAACGGCCATCGCTAAGAGGGTCTCCGACGCGCTCCCTCCGCTCACGGTCGAGCAAGTATACAACGGGGTGGACTATGGAAAGAAGGGAGTGGACTTCACAGTGGCCCTACCGCGATTCCGGCTCCCGGGGAAGGTAGACGAGCTCGCGGGGAAGGTATTGAGTAAAGTATGTGGTATGTGGCGCAAGGGAGCTCTTATGAACCGTCCCACTGATTATATATCTAGTTCGAAAAAGACGAATGGGTGGAATCAGTGATACACGATAAAGCATTCCTACACTTCCAACTCAACACGTCCAATGTCATCCGCGAAATCTTGAACCAAGTCCACCAACTAACCCATGCGACGGAATCAGGAAAGCCGGAGTACGGGACCAACACGTCAGGAAAGGGCAAGAAAGTTATTATCGAATACTCCTCGCCGAATATTGCGAAATCATTCCACGTTGGCCACCTTCGAAGTACAATCATCGGAGCATTCCTCGCAAACCTGTACAAGAGTTGCGGATGGGACGTGGTATCGCTCAATTATCTAGGCGACTGGGGGACTCAAGTGCGTATAATGATTTCACTACTACTCGCCATACTCATGCATCCGCGTTAGTTCGGAATGATTGCCGTTGGATTCGAAAAATACGGTTCTCAAGAGGAGCTGGAAAAGGACGCAATCAAGCATCTATTCGATGTCTATGTTCAGGTCAACAAGGACGCGAACGAAGACCCCAACGTAAAAGTCGAAGCCGCCAAATGGTTCAAGCGTATGGAGGACGGCGATGAGTCTGCGTTGACCAATTGGCGGGTATGGCGGGAACTCAGCGTCAAGAAGTACGAGGGCGAGTACAATCGGCTGAATGTTCACTTTGATGAGTATACCGGCGAAAGCAAGGTTGGGAAGGAGTGGCAGGACAAGGCGCTGGAACGGCTGGAAGCGATGGGCTTGATCAGCGACGTCGACGGGGCCAAGATTGTTGACCTCGAGAAATGGAAGATGGGGAAGGCGGTTTTACGCAAGAAAGGTGGGTAATATTCCTTCCCATGCGATTATTCTCATTCGTTGTAGACGGCACTTCCATTTACCTAACTCGAGACATTGCCGGCGCTATTGAACGTTACGAGAAGTACAACTTCGACAAGATGATCTACGTCGTCTCATCGCAACAAGACCTCCATCTGTCCCAGTTCTTCAAAATTCTGAAGTTGATGGAGTTCCCGTGGGCAGACAAACTCGAACACGTCAACTATGGCCTGGTGCAGGGGATGAGTACGCGGAAGGGGACAGTTGTTTTCTTGGATCAGATCATCAAGGAGGCGGCTCAAGTGATGCACGAGCAGATGCAGAAGAACGAAGATAAGTACAAGGCCATCGAGGATCCGGAGAATACGAGCCTGGAGATCGGCATCACTGGGGTGAAGATTCAAGACATGGCCGCGAAACGCATAAACAACTATACATTCAACTGGGATCGTATGAAATCTTTCGAGGGTGATACTGGCCCATATCTCCAATACGCGCACGTCCGACTCGCTTCCATCGGGCGAAATAATCCGCACCTGTTCCCGCTCCCACCACCCGAACAGATCGACACTTCACATCTTGTTTCCTCTCCTCATGCGCGTGATATCGTTTTCCTGCTCGGCACTTACCCCGATGTTGTCAAAGTCGCGCTGAAGACGCACGAGCCGAGTGGTGTAGTGACTTTCGCGTTCAAGCTGAGCCATGCGATTTCGAGCGCATGGGACACTGTAGGTGTGAAAAGCGAGAAGGACATCGAGATCGCTCGGGCGCGGATGTGGATGTACGAGTGCGCTAGACATGTTTTGGCCGCTGCGATGGAGCTATTGAGCATTCGACCGTTGGAAAAGATGTAAAGATGTAACGTTAACCTCTGATCTACAATTATCCTACGATTTTGGGCATCAGGATCATGGAGTGCCGCATAATTCACTTTTTACTCCTGGAAAATGGACTCGGATACTGAGTACTGTGTCACGATTATACATAATTCACCAGTATCGAACGTAAGGTGGTATCGGTAAGTATGTTCTTTGCTAATTCTGGGAAGTAAACTCTGTATCGAACGTCAGATTGGAACAGGGTTAGCTTTCAAAATTTCACAGTCTTGTAAGCAAGGCACCCCGTCGCAGCCCGTCGCCTCTGGCTACGCATTGTATCCAGCCAGCGAACCTCTTACAGGAACGCGACGGAGTCAATTCCGTTACGGAACGCTATCTCCATCTACGTTGCAGGCTCATATTTCCAGTAGAATCGTCTGAATCATCTAACGCGTGAAGCGGCTGAACAAGGCGACCACCGGAGAAACGGACAATGCATTGAATCATTTGAATGAAATATGTGGCGCGGGCGTATTGACGGCCTTGTTATCACTGGCTAGAAATTTGAAACCAATGTCCTACACCCATACAATGGCAGGACTAGTAAAGATCCCTTGTCGTATACACTAAAGCATACACTACATCCACCGAGGTTTGGCCCAAGAATAGCCTGAAAATCCCGGGATTCCGTCGGCCTCGTAGATAATACATACCGATGGCCATTCGATTGGACACTTGGAGAAATGCATATGTAGTGTTCGGCAAAGATATTGCGAACGGTGGCCATACCCAATGGGATATGAGCTCTACCCACGTTTGCCAGGGGATGGATAAGCACTGAACTGTCTGAAAGTTTGCCCCAACCCCATGTCAAGACCTACTTCTAGGCGACGAGCCTACGTACATTGACAAGATGACGGACAAGCACATATGAACTTGCAGAATGAAAGCATATCATTGTATTGGCGGCATAGCATAGAATTCATGGGACACATTCGCTTCTCCGAAAGTAGGCTATTCACTCCCGAAACATCCTTTTAAGCGATCAAAGTGGAAGCCGTCGCCGAATCGTACTTGAAGGTGGGAGGGATTTGCTGCTTGGTTTTATAGTAGCGAGCAAGACGGTGGATGCGAGACTCGATAAGAATCAAGCGGAACTTGGAGTCCTTATCTTTGCGGTTAACTTCCAAGTGCTTGCGGACGGCGACCGCCTTTTTGATGAGGTGCCAAAGGTCCTCAGGGATGGATGGTCCCAATCCTATCCCCAAACAAAAAGGTATGTGATGAAATCACAGCGTAAAAGCGAGGATGGGAAGCAGACAAGACCGGCAGTGCATGAGAGGCGCGTCAACAGATCAGAGTACATCACACACCATGGGACTTGAGGATACGGAGGATCTTGTTTCCGGTGACGAAACGGACTTGGGGAATGCCATGGGAGTCACGGAGGGTGACACCGATCTGCGAAGGGGTCAAACCCTTGCGAGCAAGCTTGATGATGTGGTCAATGACATCGTCCGGGGTGGTCTTCAACCATGTTGGAGGGGCTCTGCGATAAGGCAAAGCGGAGGACGCTGGGCAATACATTCAATGAACTTCTGATCCAATATTATCAAGGGATTAGAGCCTACAAATGCCCTTTCCGGGAGCGTGCATGCGACCCATGGCTGATTCTGCGCGTGAAAGTGAGCAAGCCTCGTCGTGCGTATCATCAAAGCTCGACTTACAATTTGTGGTGGTCGAGAAGATGTCTTGAGGATGTCGTTGGCAACGTTGAAGCACAACGAAGGACGAAATCTTCAGAGGCTGCCGCGAGTTGCCGAAGGTGGCTGAAACAGCTGTATAGTCGAGTGCCCAATTTGGTGCAGCCACCTACCGAGATCTTTGTTTGTCCGTGTTGCCTCCATCCCAAAACCTACACCAGCCCGACAAGAGGTCGTCGCCCGTGGTGACCAGCAAGCCAGTCCTCAAGGTTCGTCGTTTCTTGCGCGTACAAGTGCTCATCTTGCTCATTGGACCCACAGCATGAAGCTCAACATCGCCCGTAAGCCATCGTTACATGGTTTTGATTCCAATATATAACTCATTCATCCAATGAAGATCCCGCAACCGGGAACCAAAAGCTCATCGATATCGACGATGAAAGACGAGTGTATGGATCACGGAACGTTGCTGATATACTGCAACTGACAATTCATGTACAGTCGCATTTTCTACGACAAGAAGATCTCCCAAGAAGTCGCAGCCGACGCTATTGGCGATGAATGGAAGGGCTACATTTTCCGTATCACTGGCGGTAACGACAAGCAGGGTTTCCCAATGAAGCAAGGTGTTCTCCTTCCCCACCGTGTCCGTCTCCTCCTCTCCGACGGCCATTCCTGCTACCGCATCCGCCGAACTGGTGAACGCAAGCGTAAATCCGTCCGTGGTTGCATAGTCGGCCCCGATATCGCCGTCCTCTCGTTGGTCATCGTTAAGCAGGGCGACGCCGAGATCCCAGGACTCACTGACTCCGTCCAGCCCAAACGCCTGGGTCCTAAGCGAGCCACGAAGATCAGAAAGTTCTTCAACTTGAGCAAGGAGGACGATGTCAGGAAATACGTTGTCAGGAGAGAGGTCAAGAGCGCAAAGAAGGAGGATGCTAAGCCCTACACCAAGGCGTAGGTCGAAATCCATGCCTTGTCTCTACGTGACACTTACCCGTACCCTTAAGACCCAAAATCCAGCGACTTGTTACCCCCGTCCGCCTCCAACGCCGCCGTCATCTCAATGCCCTCAAGCGTCGCAGAATTGACCACCAGAAGGAGCAAAAGTCGGAATACGAGTATGTGCTATTTCTGCTTTCCAATGACATCGCTGATTGTATGTAGCGCCCTCATTGCCAAGCGTGTGGCAGACAAGAAGGCGAAGGCAGCTGCTATCAAGGCATCCCATAAGTAAGCCATCATCTTCATACTAGTGGACCGATGCCGATACCCTTTTGTGCAGGACGACCGCTTGAATGCTTAATCTGTAGTTCCCCTTTCCTCTCGTATGCACCATGCCCGTCACAATCATATTGCTTTGTTACGATGATACAACATGTCTTCTATGCTATGGGATATACTGTATCAACTCCGAGGTATCTGAATACCTAGCAAGATGAGATCGATGACAAGCGCTATTGAGTAGAATGTGTTCATTTCCTTCTTAAGTCGTGAATCTTAATTTTTCTCAACATCTTGAGCAGTCTTCATGATCAGGATTCGATAACGTCTTGCGAGGCTTCGATTGTCCAATGGCTCAGAACTTGACTTCGAATTCGATAGATTCTTTAGTTCAATGTGAATGGTCGCAGGGGATGCTTCCGTGCTTCTTTGAGTTCATTCGTGAGTTCATTTCGTTGTCTCGTGCTCACTGAGGTTACTAATCGCTGCTGCCGCAGGGTGTGCGCGCCTCGAACATGAAAAGCGTAGTACTACAACCTGGAAGTAGTAGCGTGCTCCGCCGCCATGTGCACGGCGTCCAATTGAATTACGTCGTTTCACGACCAACTGACAGCATCTTATCTTCCCTACATGTGATCTTGCTCGCGGACCGTACGGCCCCCCAGGATGCTGATGAACCACATAAAAGAGAAACCACAGGTGTAGCCAACGATTTTCCCTGGCTCCAACTTATCATCCGCTACAATCTAATCAGCCATGTCTGCGCCTTTAGTCAAGCTTAATAACGGGCTGGAGATACCCGCGATCGGACTCGGTGCGTTGCAGATTGTGCGTCGATAGCATGGGCGAGGGTCGCTGATTCACTTAATGTAATGCTCCACGATGCAGGTACTTGGCAGTCAAAGTCAAACGAAGTAACTGCCGCGGTCGAATTTGCTCTGAAGGAAGCTGGATATAGACATATCGACTGCGCATGGTATGGTTTCGTATCATGAATCAATATTACTGCCGTCTGCTTCTGACGACTCGTCCGTGATGCTTTAGGGGATATGGGAACGAGAAAGAGGTCGGCGATGGTATCAGAGCCTCCGGCGTTCCCAGGTCTGACATATTCGTGAGTGTCTGCCAGCGTGCGGCTCGGATCATTGATTTGAGTCTATAGATTACGAGCAAGCTGTGGGGGACGTATCACTCCCGTGTGGAGGAGTGCCTCGACCAGACTCTGGCAAACCTGGGGACTGATTATCTTGACCGTGCGTTGGTGCACATGTGGCGCGTTGCTAGACGCTGACCCTACGTCCGTGTTCGCAGTGTATCTCGTTCACTGGCCTGTCCCTTTGAATCCGAAGGGAAATCATCCTATATTTCCTCTCCTCCCTGATGGGAAGCGCGACGTGGACCATTCTTGGGACTTGAAAGATACCTGGAAGCAAATGGAAGCAATGGTCCAAAAAGGTAAGTTGAAAGGCTAATCTGCCAAACACTATTGTTCAAGGAGAAATTGCAGGGAAAGTCAAGTCTATCGGTGTGTCCAACTTCTCTCAGAAGAAGCTCGATGAGATACTCCCCACGGCGGAAATTATCCCTGTCGTAAACCAGGTAGGTGAAAGTGGTTATCATTTCAGAGGATGAAACTCTGGAAGGCTAAACCTTGATATATCGATAGCTGGAGCTTCATGTCTATAACCCCCAACATAAGCTGGTAGAATACCTCCGATCCAAAGATATCGTCCCAGAGGCATACTCACCCTTGGGCTCCGCCGGCTCTCCGCTGTTGTCTGATGAAACTGTCTTGGATATTGCCAAAAAGCATTCCCTCCAGGCCGCAGACGTCCTCGTTGGCTATCTCCGTAAGTTCGTCCATTCACATGTGCATGGTTGCATCTATTAATTGACATACGGGATATCAATGATGTAGTGGCTAAAGGTATGGTCGTCCTGCCAAAGTCCATTACACCTTGTGAGTAAATGTCGAATTGGTTAATATCATGCAACGTACTGATGATGATGACGATGCCAGCGCGCATCGCATCGAATCTGTCTGGAGCTGTCAATGCGTCGACGAAGCTCGAGAGCGGCGATATCGAGAAACTTGATGGCCTGGCTGCGGCGGGAAAGCAGAAGAGGTCAGTCCGTTACTTACGTTACTTCCGCCGCCGTTTGCCGCCTCTATATCAAAGCTGACCTACACTTGCACCGCTCTGCCATGCCACCGTAGGTTCATCACTCCCCCCTGGCGTAAGTATTAGTTCCACGGAAATTCACATTAATGTTGACCCTTGCTCGCCCATTCTAGCTGTCGATCTTGGATTCGACCACTGGCCGAGTCTGCTATAGCGGTTTCGGGCACGAGAGTATCGTAACGTCGGTACCAGTGTCCCATGTGACGGTGCTGCAGCTAGCTTCAATCAAACGTATTTGCTTCCGCTGTGAATTAAGCTTTGCGGTAGTTCTAGTTGCACGCAAGCGTGTTGGAAGTATCGTCCCTGGGAGGGTAAGCGAGCCGACAATCGTCAATGTTTGAATGTTCGATGCCCTTTTACGGGGAGTTGGAGCTACATATACGTCGTCTTGAAGGGGCTGGAGCCGTATGTAAGTATGTAACTCCCCGCTTGACAACCATGGCGTGGCGGTTGATACAAGAATGAGCCGTCTGGAACCTTGTCACGTCACCTCGACTTGCAAGACCAACCAAGACCGACCGAGAAGGTGCCTGTCGGGGGCAGACTGCCAGTGAGAAGTGAATGTTCGTGTGGCGATGTGGGAAAATAAATTCCTCCGGATGAGTTGGGGCGTACTATGTGGGAAGCGTTTGGGAGGGAAATTGTAGTCATTCAAGGCTGCATGACTACGATGATCCATGGAAGGATTGCCCTAGCTGTGCAAGGCACGTCTGAGCCTGTAGATCCAGACAAATACGAAAATAAATACCAGAAATAATCTTGACCCATACATTCGGCTTTTCATGATTCCGTAGCGGTTTGCTACGGGGACGGAAGCGAATCGCAGCAGCCACGATGATGATGGACACTGCCGCTTACAGCCGCGACTGTGCCCTGGGTCCTGTTTTGATGTGGTAACCACGTGCAGGGGACGGAATATCACGCCCAAACCCGTACTTCCAATTGCCGCTGTTACTTCGGAGGAAGATTGCTGCTGGTAGATTCCTCTGAATTAGGCAATGAAACCGCGCTTTTGCTCGTTCTCCTTTATGACATACCCAAAATCAATTAATTCTTTATTGGAGCCGGGTGAATCGTAGATGGCGCGCTGATTCTATGAAAAAATTTGACTCCATGCCATTTGACAGTGCCAAACGCTTAAAAGCCGAGACGCCTTTGACTCACTATCATACTCCCCTCCGCCGTCTCATCCCCTTCTTCCTCCTTCGCCGATCCATCATGCCATCCGCCATACGCGACGGCCGCGACCTCGACACCACTTCTGATGCCATTGACGATGGTGTGTACGATGATGCGCTTATATCCGACCGTGTATTGATCAGCGCCTTCGCCAGTCAACGCGCTTCGGGGAAAACTATGGAATGAGGAATCCGAATTCGATGAGGGGAAGGACAAGGCTCAGTTCCGCGACTACGATGCTGCATGTGATCGCGTCAAGAACTTTTACAAAGAACAGCACGGTGCGTGAATATCGTATACGTCTCTGAATGGCCGTGGCTCACTTGTGCTTTAGAAAAACAAACAATGGCGTTCAACATCAAGGCACGCGTCGACTTCAAGAACAGGGAGCGTGTTCGCATGAGTGTCTGGGAAGCTATGGAGCTCCTAAACACCCTTGTAGACGAGTCCGATCCCGACGTGAGTATCTTTCTCGGGCTTTGCTGCAGAAACGCCGTTTAACGCGTTATTCCCTGTTCCAGACTAGTGTATCTCAAATCGAGCACTTGCTCCAGACTGCCGAAGCCATACGTCGAGATGGGAAACCTGAATGGATGCAGGTTCGTCTTGGCCACCGAACTTCGGAGACGACTGGACTGAAGTTCGATGCATAGGTTACTGGTCTAGTCCACGATCTGGGCAAGCTTTTGTTTATCCTTGGCTCTGAGGGACAATGGGATGTTGTCGGGGTGAGCATTCCTGTTTGTCCAGCTATCAGTTTCATCGTCTAATGGATGTAAAGGACACCTTTGTCGTCGGATGCAAGTTCTCAGATAAGATCATATACCCCGACACGTTTGCCAACAACCCTGATATCCACGATCCCATCTACTCTACGGAATATGGTATCTACCAACCCAATTGCGGTCTCGACAATGTCATGTTGTCCTGGGGCCATGATGAGGTAAGTCACTTTCCGCCCCCTTGGGACTTCGGCTGATGGTCCCTACCAGTATCTTTACAACGTCCTCAAGGATCAATGCTCCCTCCCCGAAGAAGGGTTAGCTATGATTCGCTACCACAGTTTCTACCCATGGCACCGGGAAAACGCCTACTCCCACATCACAAACGACAAGGATACAAAGATATTGGAGGCCGTACGTGCTTTCAACCCTTACGATCTATACAGTAAAAGCGACGAACCCTGCAATCCGGCGACACTAAGGCCATACTACGAAAGCCTCATTGCCAAGTTCTTCCCTTCTGTCATCGAATGGTAGATTATCCGTCTTTGATGCGCCTGGTGCCACCCCTTTCCCGATATTGTTTATTGCTATCGTTGCTTTACATAGACACCTTTGTTCCACGTCCCAGTCCTTTGCGTCCGCACTACCGTACAAATTAGCTATTGAAGATATGTAATTGTTTGCTGATCTTGCTTCTCATAGACCGTAGCTTCCGATGCTATGATTTCTGTACATATATTTATATACCTTCTTACTAGAGACAGTAACATATAGAAATTGTATCTTTTATCTTTTCCTACAAAACTTTGCCGAACCTTGTTTAAAACCCAATCTTTGTCCTGGAGACGGTGAAGCTTCGGCCACGTGTGTGAGGGCATACGCGCCCTGATCACTGTCAGTGCATGTTATGATCGTTTGATCGATAAATATGATAAGATAACGTCGCTCCTTGACTACATACTCCCATCTTCGTTCAAATTGGGATTGACCCTTGGCCGAGCATCGTACCACGGTTCGCAATGACAGAACACGCACCAGAAAGCACACTACCCTATCCACCTGTCCACAAGGATAAGAAATTCGTGGTGCTCTCCGACTGGTATGTGGGGCCTCGAGTGCGTAAAGCCGCTGCACAGAATTTATCGGCGCATGCAGGGACGGAACCATAACCACCTGCGATTCCAATGACTGTGAGCGCATCTTTCGTTCGTGTACGTATATATGATGATGAATCTTGACAGATATGACGGATAACCTGGGGTTTGGCAAGGAGAAGCGCAGAGCTGGTAATCTCGATATCTTGTCAGGCAAGTACACCTTCAGGTAAGGCCTTGATATGGGAAGCATCATGACGCATTTTCAAATGGATGCCTAGGGATGCGTTCCATGAGATGCTGGACAGCGTCAGCAGCAACGGTCACAAATTCGACGAATGCATCGATATTTTGAGGAAGAGTATGGTAGTAACCCACCCGAAATCGTCGAGCATCGGGCGCTCACCTGTCCGCCTATTTAGACATAGAGTTAGATCCTGGCTTCAAGGAGTTCTATAAGTGGTGCAAAGGCAACGACATTCCCGTCATCATTGTTTCCAGGTATGCCGATGCCCAAGATCCTATATCTGCCTCTTCGCCGCTCATATCCGTAACCGTCAGCGGAATGACGCCCATCATTCGCGCAGTCCTGTCGAATCTTGTGGGAGAGGACGATGCGAAGGATATAGATATCATCTCGAACGATGTCGACATCCATCCTGACTCTACATGGAGCATCAAATTCCGCCACCCGACGAGCGGATATGGGCACGACAAGTCGCAGGCCATCCTCCCCTACCGTGATCTCCCTGACCCGCCCATGCTGTTCTTTTTTGGCGACGGGGTATCCGGTGAGTCGCGCTCGCCGAGGGGGTATCTGCGCTGACACACATGTTGCAGATATGTCAGCGGCGAAGCACGCTGACGTGTTATTCGTGAAGGAGAAGCCCAATGGTGAGAATGACCTTGCTGCGTACTGTACGGCGCATGGAATCCGACACATCCTATTCCGGGACTTTTCCCAAGCTTTGGGTGTCGTGCAATCTGTAGTGAAGGGCGAGAAGACTCCTGATGAAGTGCTCTCTGCTGGCCGGATTGAGTGATATATCATATATCATCTATACCAGATGCTTAGATGTGGCTCCCTTGATTAGATGTCCGCATGTAGCGGCGCTTTGATTAGAAGCTACATTGTTTACTTTGAAGACAACCTTTCCTCGACAACTTCGGCGTGTTCGTCGCGTCTTCGCATATTGTAGTCTAACTCAAAGTCTTTCGGGGTAAAAGGAAGCACGTGCCGGCCAATATTTGCGATGTGGTTGTCCGTAGTTCCGCCCGCCCCTCGACATCAAATTCTTAATGGTCACCATTGACCCTAGGCACACATAGTCAGGCAAGGCTCATATTTTTGCGGGTTGTCTTCATACCCTCATCTTTCCGGATCCACGACAACCGAGAATGAGGGCCCAACACCAGCTTCGAGCTGTACGATTCGGGCGACAGACCGCGGGGGCACCAGCCCTGGGGCGTGTTGCGGGCATCAGGTTCTATCACGACGAATCTTTTGGTTTCAGGAAACCTCGAGAGTTCGTTGTTCCAGACTGTGAGCGGGTTGCGGCGCCCTGTGATCACCATCGAGGAATGTATTAAACATTCTCACATATAGACACCGAGGCACAGCTGCAGAACAGGACCAAGAACGCCCCGTTGCTGCGCTATGTGGACTCGATGCGCACTCACGGACACCGCGCAGCCCGCATTGACCCCCTTGATATCTTGCATCGAGAAGAAGTCGCCGCTCTAGATCCGGCACGCTACGGCCTTACCGATCCATCTCAGAAGTACGACGTAAATGGGATCGTGTGGACGAAGCCTGTGGGGTACCAGGGCGCTAGTGCTGACACGGAGCAATGGTGGACGCTTGAAGAAATTGTGCGACACCTGCGAACGGTGTACGTGGGGCCTATCGCGTACGAATACATGCACTCCCCGTCAAAAAGCGAGAGGCTATGGTTCTCGCATTTCCTCGAGTCCCGCGCCGCAAACACCAACAACGACGTGGATAAGCAGAAGAAACGGCGCATCCACGAACTCCTTGCAAGGAGCGAAGTTTTGGATCATTTCCTGCAATTGAAGTTCCCTAATTTGAAGCGCTACGGGCTCGAAGGTGGCGAATCTATGCTTCCCGCTCTGGACTCGTTGTTCTCGCTTGCTGCTCGTGGTTGGTGATCAACTATACCTGCTTTCTTCCTTGGAATAATATCGTCAATTTCTTTAGGCGGTATACAACACATCGTGCTTGCGATGCCCCACCGTGGCCGACTTAACCTTCTGACAGATTTGTTAAAGTATTCGCCTGCTGCTTTATTCCATAAGATTAAGGGCGGTTTTGAGATTCCTGAGGACCTGGGCGCTGAGGGGGATGTATTGAGCCACTTAGGTAGGGTTCCAGTGGCTGTATCTGTGTACACTTGTGACGATTTCCCTAGTCGCTTCACCCACTCTACATTATGAGGGTGCTAGTGACCCTATCAAGGTGTCTCTGCAGCCGAACCCTTCCCATCTCGGTAAGTGACGGTGGTAAACGCTGAGCATTTCTTATATCAGAGTTCCTTCATTTAGAGGCTGTCAATTCTGTGGCTTTGGGCAAGACGCGGGCCAAGCAATACACTCTCCTCAAGACGTCGCCTAGCGACTGCAAATTGGGTGACAAGGCTATGTGCGTCCAATTGCATGGGGATGCTAGCTTCACAGGTCAAGGCGTGATTATGGAAACTTTGGGTCTAAGTTCGTCTTCCATTCCGCGGATTACATGTCGTTAGTCTTAGTGCTAATTATCAACCAGGCAATCTCCCTCACTTTACCAGTGGAGGCAGTGTGCATCTCGTAGTTGAGTAAGTTCTTCCTGTTCCATCGCGTTTGACCGTCGCTAAAGTCTGAGTGTAGCAATAAGTGAGTGTTTTGGTGGCGGCCTTAAATGTAGAAAGTTCATGCCGTCTAGTATTGGATATACTACGCCGGCGAGCAGCGGTCGATCGTCATTGTATTGTTCTGATGTTGGCAAGATGATCAACGCCCCGATCCTCCATGTTAACGGAGACTATCCTGAAGGTATGTACACGAATGGAAAGCGAATATCTCGAAGCCTTCGTTGACTTGGATTGATAGATGTCGCACGTGCTATGGATATTGCGATCAAATACCGTGATCACTTCCGCAAGGTTTGCTGCTTGACGTCTCCTTTTTTCGTTGTCTCATTTCAGTAGGATATCATCGTCGATCTGCTTGTTTACAGGCGATGGTGAGTGCCTTGTTCATCTCGTTTCTGCGTCGATGCTGATGCTTTCATAGGGGGTAAGTCGTCATATTTCATCTGTGGGCGGAGCGCTGCAGTGCTGAACATTTACGCAAGGCACAACGAATTGGACGTACCTGACTTCACGAGCCCACTGATGTATGAGAAGATTCGTTCAAGGCGCTCCGTCCCTCAACTCTACGAAGACAAGTTAATTGTACGGCTGCCGTATTCTGCGTCGGTACTAAACTTTCTGACACATTGTCCCTAGGCGGAGGAGGTCATTGATGCCCGCGATGCTGCTCAAGTTCGGGAGTCTTACAAGGCCTACCTCAACGAAGAATTAGCGAAGTCAGCTACCTACGGGCCTTCTGCCTCTATGCTTGAGGAGAATTGGAAGGGAATGGTCTGGCCTGCTAGCGAAGAAGCAAATAGAAACCCTGAGACCGGTGTCGCTAAGGACGTGTTGGTTCGTGTCGGTTCGGCCAGTGTGGCGACTCCCTCGGACTTCGTACGTGGCTCCCTGTCATACACGCCGGTCTGCTCTGAATTGCGCGACCGTAGGATATTCATCCAAAACTGCAAAGGCACGTGAAGAACCGCCTGCAGAATATCAAGAACGAGAAGGGACTGGACTGGGCAACGGCAGAGGTGCGCGTGCCTTCTGATTGTTTTGGGCCGCTGACGCGACATGCGACATGATGGATTTAGGCCATGGCCTTTGGGTCGCTCATGCTCGAAGGCACCGACGTTAGGATCTCTGGGCAGGACGTCGGCAGAGGAACATTTAGTCACCGTCATGCTATGCTGGTCAACCAGAAGACCGAAGGAACCATTGTACCACTCAACGACCAGCTTGATGCACCCGGCAAACTTGAGCTCGCGAACAGTGAGTAATTGGGTGAAATCATTCAACGTCTTGTTGCTCATCTACGTGTGTTTATCTTCTAGGTTCCCTCAGTGAGATGGCTGTGTTAGGCGTACGTTAAGATCGCGTCGGGATGTCATAACTGTGGACTTATCTTCTTTCTAGTTCGAGTATGGTGCTAGCTGGGAACGGCCGAACCTACTGCCAATTTGGGAGGCACAAGTGAGTTGTTATGAGCTGTTTCCTGCATGTGGTTTACGCGCTTTCCTAGTTCGGGGACTTCTTCAACGGCGCTCAAGTGGGTGACTGCGAATTTATTGTCCACCGTAGTATTAACATGGTTGTAGATCATCATCGACACATTCATTTCTTCCGCAGAAAGTAAGACACATTGCAGCCTACCTGGGACTTTTTTCTGACCGTTCGATATCATAGCTAAATGGTTGAAGCAGAGTGGCATGGTTCTTCTGCTTCCTCACGGCCTAGACGGGGCTGGCCCGGAGCACTCTTCTTCCCGAATCGAACGCATGCTTCAAGTTGGCTTTTCTTTCTACCGTTGGACAACCGTGCACTTTCTGACCTGTCCAATAGCTTTCCAACGACCCGTATGTGTACAACAAGGACTCGCCCGAGGCGAACGTGAACATGCACGTGGTCTTCCCTACAACTTCGGCACAATACTTCCATCTCCTAAGACGGCAAATAAAGCGCAACTACCGCAAGCCATTAGTTGTTGCGTCACCCAAGGGTCTCCTGCGTCTTGCGGTAACCAATTCCATTTTATTTATCACATTCGTTCCCCCCTCTGATGCATTTTCCTGTATCCCAGGCTGCTTCCTCCCCTCTTTCTGAACTCACCGGCGAGAACAAGTTCAAGCCCGTCTTGAACGATCCAGCCGTTAACCCCGAACAAGTCGAGCGGGTCGTGCTAATTTCCGGGAAAATATACTACGAGCTCATCAAAGAGCGGCAAGCGCGTGGTCTCGACGATAAGGTGGCCTTCGTGCGGATCGAGGAGCTGTCTCCGTTCCCCTTCCACCATGTCGAGCGAGTGCTAGGGCGGTATGCCAATGCGAGGGAGTTCGTGTATCTTCAAGAAGAGCCGAGGAACCAGGGTGCATGGACGCATGTGTCTACTAGGATACAACATGTGTTGGAGGTGATGGGGAGGAAGGATGTTGAGTTACAGTATCGCGGAAGGAAGGAGAGTGCACTTCCTGCGCCTGGAGTGGGAAAGTTGTACGCTGCGCAACAGAAGGCTGTAATGGAATCCGCGTTCGAAGGCTTGTGAATAGGATATGAATGGAGGTGAACTTAATGTGGGTTATCCATCAGGTAACATGAATATACACCCAATCCTGAGAGCCTTTCTGCAGATCACGAAGACTACGCTAAATATAATGGTGGGAGGCATGTAATCTGATAAATAAATGCGTTTCCTTTGAACGTCGGCATTCTGGCCGTAACAGTGGGTGCTGCTATTTTAATTTCGGGCGCCACGAGAGCCTAAGGACTGGATCACTAAAACTTTGCTTCCGTGTCTCATGCTGTGTTCTCCTTGATGGCTAGACAGCACCGGTGAAGTTGATGTGATGCATTCCGAAATCATGGTTAACAGAAAGAGGTAGCTTATAATACTCGCCATTGCTTACAGCGTTCTTGATATTGCTTCGGACCCGTACCCATCGCCTGTTTCGTGCCTTACTATGTCAGGAGGCACTCGATGCTCCTTGAAACTCGGGGTACTTTCGAGTTTTATGTTTCGAGAACCATGGGGCCAGTACCCAAAGGCGTCGCGGGAAATTCCACGTGCCCTGGCCAGACCGAATATGGAAGGCGTTCTGATCGAAAAAAACCAATACGGCTTGGGAAAAGATCAAAGGTTACATGGACTCACTCACGAAGACATCCTGAATGCCGTCCTCAACGACAGTGACCGACGCCTGAAAGATCCATGGCGCGAAAACGGGAACAATATCCGCAGCTGCGCTTCCGATCTAGTCTTTCCCGGCTCGGTCTCGGAATCAAACCCCCGCAGGGACACGCTCATTCTACCACCACAACGAATCCCGCGCAAAAGGGAGAATACGGAGAGGAAGAAGAGTGGTACATACCGTACAATGGCCCGTACGAACCACCACCGTCGAATGAGCCGAGGTCGGCACCCGCGTACACCTCTCGGAGGAAGAGAAGGGAAGATGGGGTGGAGTTTCGGGAAGTTGTGAAGGCTGGCGAAAGTTCGGTGAGAGGATCTGGAGAGGATACGGGCCTTCAGAGTCGATATACAAGCAGCGAGGATGGCCTTGGGAGCATCTTCGGGAGAGACAATCACCAGCACCTCCGCACCCAACAACACTCCATGATGCCTGACTTCGGCGAGACTGATGTTGAAGAGGACGAGAGCGAGGAAATTGTGCGTGGGGACATGGATTTGAGGGCACGGTACGGCTACTCGTACGCCTCTAGCAACGACGAGGAAACCGACTTCAACACCCCGCTTCCGTCTGCGACACATCCGGTACTTCCTTTGTCTGCACCACCAGTCTCGACTCAGGGATGGTCGTCAAGTGAGGACAAGGGCCTCCGTCCTCGTGCCATCTCATCCACTTCAAGACCGGCAGCGACTATCAGTTCAACCACGCGAAGGGCAACGGTTTCTAGTGGGCATGGGGGAATTGGCGAGGCACCAGTCCCTGCACTGAGAACAAGTTCTTCCCAGAATTCCAAACCTGGTGGGCCACTCTCCATCGTTGACATCTTCCTATCGCATGCTCATAGATAACGTATGCAATAGGTGTTGCTGCAAATCCTGCAAATCCTCTTTCATTGTTCCATCTTAATTACTCACATCACCATCGAGACACCGACACCACCGACAGTATCACGAGCGCTTCGCCACCAACTCAGTATTCAATATTCACTGCGTCACCTCCCCAGACTTACTCGGTTATTTCGTCGCCTCCCGGTACTGGGCATGGTACTGTGAACGAGGCATTCGGTCGTTTTTCGAGGGACACGAATTCGGTGATGGGGAGGGATGGCGCCGTGGGTAATCCTCGTCTGAGTCTGGCTAGCTTGTTTAGTGGGTCGCTTGGGTTCAAGGGGAAGGGGAAAGAGCGGGAAGGGAAGGTGCCTGGGGATCAACGGCTAAAGGTGAAGTCCTCAAAATCCGATCTCGCGAGGAACGACGTCCGCGATGCGTATCGAGTGCAAGTTCGTCCCTTAGCTACACAGTACGACGGCGACGTGATATACATTGGCGACGAAAAGAACATGCCGGGTGCCGACCTGGACGCCTCCGACAACGACATTGTTAGCTCGAGTGTAGGGAAAGATGCTCGCACGGACACGGGGAATTCTCTTGCAAGTACCAACGCTGCTGACAATAAGAGTGGCGTGGGCACGGACAACATTCCGTCTGACGGTGATAATGTCGATGCAGATTCGGAAGCATATTACAACACTTACTATGCTACCTTGTTGTCGACTCCCACATCTGCTCGAGGAAGTTCTTTCCGAAGTAGCACTCCAGGAACACAGCCGGGGGGTTCCGCGAGCGATCCTATCCCTCCATTGCCGTTACACTCATCGAGCAATGTCCTGCCTTTATCGCAATTTCAGGTCGCGTCGCCATCCACCGGTCGTATTAGCCCCCGGGTGGACATGGGCGGGTTTGGCAGAAGGCATGGAAAGAACAGGGAGAAAGAGAATATTGGGGAGGAAGATGTCTGGAAACCATCACCGAGTTCGAGGGCGGCTGAAGTAATCCGAAGTGAAGCTGAAGCCGACGATGAAGGAAGAAGGGGAAGGCCAGCAGGTTCAAGGAGTCGGCAACCGGTGCATCCGTATGCCAACGTGCGCGCCTTCACTTTCCCATCTAGTCCGGGAGAGACTTCCCGTGTCGATGAAACTGATCTCACCGGTTCGACATCACGCCCACCAAAGCTGACATTCACAGCACCGTCCCAACATTCATCGCCGCTATCTGGCCCCCATACACATCCAACTGCCCATCTGCATCTGCAAACTCATCCACATCTTCTCCCACCGCCCCCTCATAGCGATTCCTCACAGCCGCACTCTCATTCTGACAGTCAAGAAAGCTACTCACCACGATCTCTGCGAAGACCCGTTTCCCCCCAATCTAAACCTAACTCTCCTTCTCAAACACAATCCCCTTCACGCGCCCTCCTTCTGCCACACCCCCTCCAACACCTACATAATATCCGTAATCGACTGAAGTTGTCAATGTCGACGCCTAATCTTCGCGCGTCTGGTTCATCGGCATCTGGCTCCTTATCAGGCCAATCGTCTCGTTCGTCTGCTGCCTCTACCAATCAGAAACTACCTCATACGCGAAACCCGTCGAAGTCAAAGGCACCTGAGGACACAAGACATGTACCCCGACCTATCAATATAATTAAGCAGAAATCAGTACCCAATAGCCCACATCATGCATTCCCCAGAGGTTTGGATCGATGGCTCTCCGCTGAAACGTGGTGCGACGCCCTTTTCCTACCCAAACCGCGACTGCGGCTCCGAGGTGATGATCCCTATTACGAGAAAGGAGAATCTATAGTTGGTCCAAGCTCAGGCTCTCGTCGCATTGTCAGTCCGCCTGGAAGCCCAGTTGCGAGAGACTTCGTCAATCGAGCTGATGGCTCTCAAACTCTGGAATCTCGTGTCCTTGCACATTCACGCTCGCTAGCAGATCTTCGATTAGGACATCAGGAAAGCGTGATAGCTGATCGGAAGGGCAAGGAGAGAATGACTGGACGACCGGCGACAGCTGATGTGAGTGGTTCAAGAGCAAGAGGTTTGACATTGCCTTCCTCGAGCGCCCGACCAGCCACGGCCAATCCCATCACAGGGACAAAAGTAGAGACCTCCCACCCAATGCCAGCGCCCGCGGTTGTTATCATTAAACCGAATACGAAACCAAGCCGTCCAAAAAGCTGGGCGCTGGATGATTTAGCCCTTCCTAGTCCGGTGCCCTCTTTGATGACGTGAGTGTGATCAGTTGCCTTTGTAAGGAGTGTTATTAATATCAATCGTGCACCAGGGTCCTGGCAGAAGGGCAAATTCTTGAACACCAGCGGCGGAAATGGCAGGCTCAAGCGCAAAAGTCGTTTCAGAATCAACGCTCCCGTAGTCTATCTAGATCACGGAGCAAGTCGGTCTCGAAGAAAGTCAAGGGAAACGATGCGAAGGGTCAGAGTAGCCACGGGAAAGATAGTAAACTTGAATATCTTGCGGCGCGTTCCCTGTTGGGTAATCAAGATATTCTACCTATCTCGACAGGCATCCGAAAGCGTAGCTTGAGCCAATCGCATACGGCTACTGATTCAACGGGGCGGCCATCTGGTGGTTCCCAATCCACTGCCCATAGACCATCGCATTCTTTCTCGCAGACGATGAGCAAATCGACCCACTCTCGAACTGGCTCGCAAAATCATTCACGGAACGGCTCGTGGTCAAAGACGGCTCTCGATAAGATTGCGATGGGTACAGCGGCCTTGTGCGGTATCCCAGGAGGAGATAGTACCACAGCCACACCTGAGACAGAGCATCCCCCTGCCGTCGGCCTGGAACGTGCGTTGAGAAGCGATACGACGCAGGTGATCCGGCTCGCGGACCCGGCAACAGTTCTTCCCCACCCCAGCGCGTCCCCTACTCCCAGCTATGGTTTCACTAACTCAAGCCACGGCCATGGAACGGCGGAGAGCGGTCCTGTCGAAGGTGTAGGGATAGCTATATCCACCCCCGGGAGCGACCTCGACCGTGACTCGATCAGACTACGTGATCACCCGTACGCGCAGACTGTGCCAAATGTCTATCATCACACATATGTGCCTCCTGCTCCTCCAGCTAATCTATCGGACCAGCGTTACGTCACCAAACGCGCATCGGACGCGCATTCTGGCGCCCCCGATTCTCTTCAGATCGGTTCGAGACATCCTTTCGCCCAGCAAAGGGACTCCTACCAAGGCAGCCCGAAAATCATTGGGCATCCTCGACCTGATAGTGAGGTCTCGCCTCAGGCTACAATGTGGGCCCCAGTGGCTGCTGGAGTCGTGCGGGAAGTACTACCTGAAGAAATTCGCTACTCTCCTATCGTAAATAGCGAGACTCTTGTGCGAGGTACTTCGAACGACGCCCCTGATACAGATCCACGGATACGACAACTCGGGAAGTTTGCCCGAAATTCGAGGAATATATTCGATACTGTTGCGCTGGGGGAAACCCTCGCCATGGCTGTTGAAGATAGTCGCGACCACCTTTCAAGGATCAGTGAAGGTTACAGTGTTTCGAACGAGGATGAAGGCGAACGAAGTTTTTCGGAAGGGAGTCATCAACCTGACCCCAGAATCGTTGCCTCAACAGGCTCCCAAAGCCCGCGAGAGACGCATCGTGAACCTGTTCAATATGACGCATCCCGACCTATGCATCGACAAGCTTCTTTGCAGATTCCGGAAGTTTTAGAAACTTCCCTGCAGGCATCGTCATCGCAGACCGATGCCCTTCCAGAGCCTGAAAGCCGCCGAAGTCAAATATCTAGGGATACCTCAGAAAGCAGCACAGGATCGATGCTTCCGACATCGCCCATCGTTACTTCACCCATAACTTCTGAAAGTTCTTCTCCTCGCCCTTCCCCCCGACTGCTCAGCCGCAACTCCGACGATCTTGAACATTTCAGAGACCTGTTTTACCGACCCGACACCGGAAGACAGCAATCATTTCAATCCGGCATGAGTGCCGCCCAGTCGTCGTCTGCTTACACGGGACATGTGTCTTGGGATGCAAATATTGCACCCTCAAGGCATCGAACAGCCAGCAGTGGCTTGACAAGCCTAGTGCGACGTGTGGGCGAGGAGCTAGAGGAGCTTAATATGCTAGTGGCAGAGATGGGGATGGAATTAGGTGACGATTCGTCATCAATTCTATCGGCGAGCTCTCGACCTACGGAATCAAGATTCGTACTGGAGCCTTCCCAAGGAATAGCCGACAACGGTGATCATGTTCGTATGCAGGCCTTTCGTCCTTCTACAACTATTCCTGAGGACGTCGAGGGCTCGGCTGAAGGAGAACAACTAATGGACGATGGTGAAGAAGACGAAGACGCGGATCTCACCGGTAAGTCTTGCCGAGTAAATCTCCTCTGCACAAACTCATTTCCTCATGTTAGCCCGCTTTCGAATTGGCATCGTTGAGGCTGTTCCTACCCCTCCAAGCACCTCGGAGGACCGCCGCTTCTCCCAACATCTATCCTCATACATCACGCATCCAGGATCCTCGGCTCAACCTAATGCTGAGGAGGCTACCGTCCGTGTAGTATCCAACGCCAGTTTGCAACCTCCTAGCACAGTCCTCAGCCGGGTCAGCTACATGACCAGCTCGGACGGGTCTCGTATGTCTGGTCTCTCAGATTTCCCGGTCCCTCCTTTGCAGGATCAAATGACACCTGGGAATATGTCTATCGTAGATTCTTACTTTGAGGATGTTACTTTACGCCAAGAATTTGCCCTTCAAACCCCGATGAGCCGACAGTCAACTCTCGGTGGCGACGAGGAGGTGGACTTCGCAATGGCTTTTTCTTCTCGCCCCCACACGGCTCGCCCGCAGTCGTAATTTTTTATTGACTCACACTCTATGTATTGTTATCTTATTCGCGGTCCGTTCAGAGCTACACATTACACTAGACTCGGTTTGCTTCTCATCTCGCAGCATATTTGCATTTCTTTTGGCATTTTGTATAATTCTCATTAGTACTACAACATTTTGGTGAAACATTAGTAATGGATTCATATTGATACAGGATATGCAGGACGGAAAACACAGCAAATAAAGATAACTTGGATATAGGTGCAATTAATCGTCATATTGTGTCAACTATATCGAGATGTTTGAGTGGGTGGAGTCAGAAAGAGAAAGAGGACAATGTGACTTACGTCTAAAGTCAGCGTTCGTGAACTGTTAACGTCTTGATCCCTATAGATGCCAACAAGAGAATTGCCTCGTTCGTATAGAGAGCCCTTCAAGCTGATGACGATGAATTGGAAGGTATCCGATGCGTGTGTGCGGATATAGTTGGCTATTTTAGCGACGTTGGTGTTGTCCAGTGCCGCGTCTACTTCGTCCAAGACAAAGAAGGGGGCGGGCTGGTAACTGTGGATAGCAAACAGCAAGGCAAGTGCAGCGACAGTTTTCTCTCCACCAGAGAGTTGCTCCATGTCTCTGAAACGCTTCATCGGTGGCATAGCATGGTATTTGATTCCGCCTGCATATGGCTCCTGCAGGGTGGTGTGAGTTTATGTTCCTAAGTTTGAGAGGCCGATTACTAACTTCGCTGTCTTCCAGACTCAAATATGCAACGCCACCCATTGGAGCTGCCTTCCCCTTTGTTAAATCCTTGTACACTTGGTCGATACGCTCCGATATGTGATTGTAAGCTTTGTTGAATAATTCGCATCTGTACGACACCGAGGCAATTAGATCTGTATGGCCTGGGGGGCGTATCGCGCTTACCTTCTCTTTTTGACATCCGTGAACTGGTCGCGAGCAGACTTAGATTCCTTCCGGGCCTTCTCAGCTTCCCTCTCGGTTTCAGTCAACTTCTGCTCGACATCGTCAAGCCTGCGGGCGCGGAGTTAATGTAAAGACAAAATAGAATTGTCGCAAGAACTCGCCTTTCCATTGCTTTTAAGTTAGGGGCCATGCGCTCGATGTCGGTGCTCAATTTTGCGATTTGCGCATCAAACTCTGCAGCTTTTGCAGGCGAACCATCCTGACGCGAAACGCATGAGTACTTGCTTCCAGAAGAAGAGGCGATCACGAACTTCTCTCTCGTCATCTTCTAGTTCGCCAAAGTCAACTTCAATACCGTAATCATGGGACTGGCGGACTGGCTGGGTCCCATCGCCTTCTTCGTCTACATCCATGGCCATTTCGTCGCGCAGGTTCTCTTCCATCGGTACATTGCGTAGATGCCCCTGCAGTAACGGTAATTTGACTTCCTCCAAGCGACATTTGCGGTAGATGCTTGACCTCTCGAGGGCCAATTTCTCTATCTCGTCATTCTGGACATAACCGTCCTCAGATGATGAAGTACGCAACGACGCAAGCCCAGGCGGAGCTACGCACCCTCATAGTAATTTCTTTCAAAGCGGCGTCCAAGGCTCTGCCTGCCTTGGATGTGGTCCGCTTCACATTCTCTACTTCCTTCGTCTTCTCATCCAGTATTTCAGTCGATGCAGCGAGATCCTGGCGCATGTTGACGAGTGCAGATTCTGCTTCATCGATCTGCTCCTGTAGGGCTTGCTTCTGGTCTTCGAGCTTGGAAATGCTGATTTGCTCAGTCGATGTGATGTCATCCAGCCGAGAAAGCCGTTCTATAACACCAGTTAAGTGTTCTGTCTCGAATTCCGATCTACGGTAGATCAGCAAAGGAGAAACGAGTGCGTGTTGACACCTCCTTACTGATGCGTCAAGCGAGCAATCTGCGTATCAAACCGCAGCCTTGCCTCGCTCTCCTCTTGCGCGAGTTTGAGTTGGCGTTCTTCGTATTCCCGAATATTCGCAACCTGGATCTTGTCGCAGAATGATGCGAAGACTTCGTCTTCGGCGGCGTTGACTATAGCTTGCAGCTGTTCGATCTGAGCTGTAACTCGGTCGTGGGTACTTTGGGCCTTTTGTGATATGGGACGTCAGTATCATTTCTGGGAATGGGTCGTGACGAGACATACAGCTTTGAGTTGTGGTGACAGCGTCTTCAACTCTCTGTCTAGGTGCTTGAGTTCGTCTTTGAGACCGTTGATTCGGAGCCGCGTCGCGCTCTGGCAGAACGCAGCAAGATGAGACACAAAGCGCATGGGATTGCGTTCCGCTCACCAAATCATCCCTCGCGATCGTTATTGCGGACTCGAGACGCGATAGCTCTGCCAGTAGATTCTCATCTGTCTTGGTGCGAGGTTTTTGCTTGCTCAATTCTCGGAGTTGCGCCATCAAACCATCTCGCACTCGAGTAAGCCCTGGCAGCAAAACGTCCGGTCAGAGGAACCAGAGAATGTCCGGGAAACCCCATACCTTGAACGTCTTTCTCGTCCCATTTCTTTGACGAATTGTGCGTGCTTCGGCCACCGGTGATCAAACCACTCTTATGGATGATCGTGCCCTCGATCGTCACAGCTACAGAGAATCAGCAGTGTTACATAGTCCAAAATCCCAGAAGTACCTTTCACTTCCTGCCCCTTCTCGTAGCAGACATACCTTGCGACCTCCATGGTGTCGCAAACGAGTGCATTACCACAAGCATGATGCATAGCCCGCTCAACGGCCGGTTCATACTGAATGACATCCACCGCTAGCCGTGCCCCTTTGGCGAAAGACCGGAACTTGTCGTTGATAGGCTTGACTTGGATGGTATCCAAAGGAATAAACGTCGCTTGTCCCGCTCTTTGGTTACGCATGTACTGTATAGAGGAATTGACATTGTGGGGTTGAACAGTTCCCAACGAAGGCGCATACGTACTTCGATGCAGTCAATCGCGGTCCTCTCCTCATCAACCACCACAGCGTCAATATTGCGGCCTAAAACCACAGACACCGCCGTTTCGTACTTCCTTTGTGTAGGCTTGCAGAGGTCGATGACCCGGCCTCGCACACCTGGCAGAATCATAAATATTATAAACCATCGGCGCGCTTCGTGGAGCCGACTAGGGAGCACAACGCACCAGGGAAGATTCGCTGCAGATTCGTCAGCGTCTCCTTCAGTTTTGTCTCCCTCTCCGACTCATTCCTGTCTACGCCAGCTTGGAGAAGCTGGCCGTACACCGTCTGGAGCTTCTCATTCGCTTCGGCCTCGAGTTGGCTGGTGAGATGAAGTGACGGGTCAACTGGAGTAAGGCAAGCCGGACGACAGGGGGGACGAACGCGATTTTTGTCCTTTCGGACTGCTGATTGTCCAGCTCTTGCTTGGTCTTCGAGAGGTCGTTCTGAAGCGCGGAAAGTCTCTCGTCCAACTAAGTCCAACGTCCCGTCAATTGATTAAAGTGTAGCGTTCATAGATTGGACTTACCTCTGCCTTCCTCGCGCTCTGCGCCTTTCCGTCTTCAGCGACCTTCTCCCTCCTTTCGCTGAATCCCTCGTACTTTTGCTGAAGCTGATTCAGTGAACGGGCGGTGGTTTTCTCTTCTCGAGTCAAAGACTCTAGAGACTGGCGCTCGTCGATAGCAAGAAGATTAGCTTGCGCTTTGCTGCCGTTCAAAAGAATAAGGTGCGTAAGCACGAGGGGACTGCTGCGACATAGGCGGCTTGGCGGACGTACAGTTGGCGATACTCCTCTAAACTCTCTTCACTTAAGGCCATATTGTGTTCAGAGGCCTGTCTTTGTGCCTCTGATCGTAGGGTCGCAATGAAACATCGTTCAGAACATGGAACATGGAAACCAGCGAAAGTCATACCTTGCGCAGCTTTGGCAGCTTTCTTCACACTCACCAGCTCTTTCTGAAGAGCATCAACCTTGCTTTGCAGCGCATCCCTGCTCTTCTCTAATTCTTCGCGGTTCTTCTGCGCATTGTTGAGCTTCCTGGTGGAGTGGCTTATCTGTGCGTCTATCGCTACGAGCTCGGGTCGCTGAAAGCAATGTCAATTACGGGCGAACTGTGCGGCTGGTTTCTACCTTGGCTTCTAACGCTTTCTCTGCTTTCTTAATCTTCTTCTCCTTCTGCATGACGCTTGTGCGCGCCTTTGCTTGTTCAGCGCGTGCCGCTTCCAAAGCTTCGTCGTGGACGCGTTGTTGCTCACGAAGACCTGCGAGTGTTCTGTTCTGGGAGTTGATCTCACGCGTGTTGTCGTCAATAGCCTCTTCAATATGATAGAGCTTGTACAGGATTCGTCGCAGTATCAGTTCATCCTACCGCAGTATCAGGCAAAGCGTTACGAACACCCAGCGCGATTTCGCACCTTCTGCTGGCACAGTGCCTCGAACCGCTCTGCCTCCCCCTTCTGCTCCTTGTACTGCTTGATTTCCCCCGCTATACCTCTCCGTTTCGTGAAATTGAACGTCGCGTTCTCCGTCGCGCGGTCCTGCGCCTCCTTCGCCTTCTCGTACTCCGCCGCGAGTTCGAGCGACCCGCTAATCTGTTCAATGAGTCTGGAGAGCTCGCGCGGCGACTGCGAGGCGACTGCCTCGACGTCGCCCTGGAAGACGAGGAAGTTCTTCGCTTTCACCAGGATGTTGTGTGAGACAAGCGCGGCATTGTAGGCGGTGTATGTGACGACTTTGTTGTTGAGTTTGTATTCAGAGGCCCCCGTGGTCGATATCCTGTAATTCGCGTTGACAATGGGTCAGTTGCGAATCCGCGCTCTAAGAGGACCATCCTTCGAACGCCACTTCCTGACGAGAAAGAGTTGTCTGAAGGGTAGAGGAGACACTCACGTTCGCTGGAATTTCCACTCTTTCTCTTCTGCATCTGTGTACACGGCCATGACCCAGGCCTTCTTGGCCGTCCCCTCTCCCTCTCCCTCCTCGTCCTCCTCTTGTGCTTCAGAGCCTTCTGCACCATTCCGACCAAGGCGCCTGCCGCGATACACAAGATCCTTCAGCTGGCTACTCCGGAGTTGAGCACTCTTTACTCCCAGAACGAACGATATCGCGTCCATGAGATTCGATTTGCCTGCGCCATTGGGCCCAATCACGGATGTGAAGTTCTTGAACGGACCGATTGTTTGGTGGCCTCTGCTTTTTATCTAGCAAATAGAGCATATATCTAGGTAGATGGACTTACCTGTACGACTTGAAATCGCAGAGCTCTATTTGAATGAGAGGCATCGCGAAACGAAGAACGGAACGCTTTCGCGTGCGGCTGCCCGTCAGGAGAGTGATTTCCGCGTGACCTGACTCCTAAGTTCAAATTCCAGACGATAGAGGTAGTTTATCCACGGTCCATCTGCGAGAGCACGTGCATCTCCTATCCCCTGTCTCCTCCCTTTCAGCCTTTGTGCCTTTGTCTCGCACGCACGTATATATATGTACCATAGCCTATGCATATTTTGTTGAAATAAGCTGGTGAGGTCGCACGAATTCCGAGTGAGCAAGTCGATATATTGTGTTTGGCTGGGACTCCAGCAAACACATGAAGAAAATAATACATGCGCGCGACATGATACTACAGTAGTCACATGCATCCCCTATACCCCTGTACCGCCAAGATTGCTGAAATCCAACATATTTCCCATCTTCTTATGTTCGCGCTCGATAGCACATTGAGTAGCTTCCTTTTCATTTCAGGACGCCTCCGAGGAGAACACGTGCCCCTGCTCGCCCTCACAACGCCAACGGCCGCTTTATTCCAACGTCGGCCATAGCAACATCATTGCATCCTTCAGCCACTCCACTTCCTTCTCCAACTAACTCCCCAATTACTACTTTCACGCGACCTTTGTCTCCCATCGAGCCAAACATGCCGGGTGAAGGAAGAACTACACCACCCATCAACACTGACGGCAACCCCTTGGAACAACGGGTAGTGGGACTTGAGTCGAGCATGAAAGAAATATTGGACCTACTTTGTGTGGCGGCGAGTAACCCCCCTCAGCCCCCCTGTCACTCCTGCCCAACCAGTCCCAGCCGCTCCAGCCGCGTCAAACACCCAAGGAGCACCCCCCCTGGTCCCCTATGTTCCCCCACCTACGTCCAATCCATCCATTGATATGTTATCCATTCCTAATTTCTTTCGTGATGTGGACGCCACGATTATGGCGTCCATTGGCAAGCATGAGTTTAAGCCACAGCAGTTGGGCAAGCTTATCCCCAGCATCACTGCGAAGGCGACAACAACGACCTACACGCTTGAGGACAGCGCACTACGTGCTACGGACACGGCCCCCATAAAGGACCTCCCAGATTTCTCAACCTTCATGCAAGCCTTGGGAGTTTACTTCCAAATCCTTTACAGGTTCGTCGGCACCACTGGAAATATCCAAGCCGTCATTGACGTTGCTGTCTCTACGCAAGGGTATACCAACTTGCTACATGAATACTCGCGCTACTTCACCTACCCTGCAATCCTCACCTATGTTAGGGACCATGTCAAGGGGCCTCCTGACTCGTCCGTACAGGGGCATGGGAACGGACGCGGAGCGCGGGAGTGCGGACGCACGGACAAGCGGAGCACACAGGACTTGGCTTCAGCTTTGATGCTGCACCCTCCTAGCCCTGCGGTGTCCTGATTTCGGAGAGAGCAAGGTGAGAGGCAGGCTCCACGGAGGAGCCTGCAGCAAAGACTTAGAAGGCAAGATGGCGGAGAAGGAACTAAGATTCAGAGTAGAGAATACATGTGTACTAGTGCTACTTTAAATACTAACTAACACATGTATGTAGTGAGGCTTAGTATGTAAGTACACATGTACATGAAACATGTAACAAAGTAATCCTAGTACTGCGCACCATGCATAAGCCTTGAGGGCAGAGCCCAAGGGATTCCGAAGGTCCGAGTATCCGAAAGGGGCGTAGGGGGGACCCCTAAGGGGGCGTGATGACTGGTCTATGACAACCTATCACATCGCTCACCACTCTCGTTGCATCCGAGAAATGATCAGAGGAGATTACTCCTTTTGGGCTGAAGAAGATTGAACTCTCGTTGGCCAACTCCACCGATCGAGCATATTCCAAGAAGTAAAGCACAGCTCGGCTACGTCATCCAAGTCGAAGTCCTTAACCCTCTTGATGACTGCCCGCGATGTATCCGGGCAAATTTGCAATAAATTCAACAACGGCACCTGCCTAACGACACCCTGCAAGTCCGGTCGCATCCACAAATGTGCCACTTGCAGCTCCACGGCGCACGGCAAGGCAGCCTGCACGCAAACTGCACCCAGTGCTTGAGGCCATGGCAGGACGAGGGTCTCGCACCCAGAATCCTCCCCTTGTCCTTGCCTACAGGATGAGCCACGCCCCCTTCTTCCTTCCCTTTCCAATTCCTCTTCAATAGCACCACCCCTAATTGACATACCCTTATCCCTTTTCCCCCCTATTAATATCCCTCCTGCTCGTCCCAACACAAATCCTTGGTGCAATCACGTGTCGCTCTGCTCTCTCGATTCCTCACCTGTCCAATCGACTCTTGTTCGATCGCAGTGGGCGCATTATTTAGCAGAGTACCCTGATTCCGAATTTGTACAAGCTTTACTTCACATAATACAATTTAGTGCAGCTATAGGATTTGATGGAACCGGTAAGTCCCAGATCTGTCACAATCTTAAAACGGCCATTGAGCATCCCGAAGTCATTGACAAGGACATTCATGTCCTCCAGTCCAACGGCCGGATTCATGGTCCCCTCAGCTCTCCCCCTCACCCAGCATTTCAGGCATCGCTGCTCGGTACGGTCACTCGAAAGCGCTATCCCAACAAATTCAGGGTTATCAACCATCTTTCCTGGCCTTCTGGCAATTCTGTCAACAACGGGATTCCTGACAGCAAAGGTCACATCGTCTACGAGGCCGTATCACAAGCAATAAGTACGATCCATTGTCTTGGTCGCTGCTGCCATCTTGCAAAGCTGGATCTCAAAGATGCCTTTCGCCATATCCCTCTCTGTGTGGCCGATTACCACTTAATTGGCTGCTTCTGGAACAGTGCTTTCTACAAGTACATGGTGCTAATCTTTGGGCTCAAATCTGCTCCCTACATATTTAACCTATTCGCCAAAGCCCTCCACTGGATAATACAGCGCCATATACCGGCCGAGCTTAAACATTATCTGGATGACTTCCTGCCTATTTTCGCTCCTGACACCCCCCTGTCCCTCGCCAATGACGCAGTTGCCTGGATGCAGACATTAGGGAACTCGTTGGGGCTCACGTTCCAGTCTGAAAAGACTGTGTGGCCAACTACTTGTCTGGAGTTCTTAGGTATCAAGCTCGACACCATTGCAATGGAAGCACACCTCCCAGACGACAAGCTTGTGTACCTCATCGATCTTCTCGCTACCTGGTCCACTAGGTCCTTATGCAACTTGCACAAATTGCAAGAGCTCACTGGATTCTTGCACTTCGCGTTGCAAGTTATTCCATATTCGCAAGCATTCATAAGGCAACTAATCAGGTTCTCAATGACCTTCTCTACCCCACACTCCCGTTGTTTCATTCCTTGCTACGCTTGCAGCGACATACGCTGGTGGTCAACTTACACCTCTTCCTGGAACGGAGTCAAGCTCATCAATCCGCCCAGGACTCACCACAACGTATTCACTGACGCAAGCGGTATAAAAGGGCTAGGGGGCGCCTACAACCACCATTGGTTTACTGCCAGAGTCCCTAGACACTTCAGGAGGTCCAAGAGGGACATTCAATTCAAGAAACTCTACACAGTTCTTCACGCTATTCTTCGCTGGGGCCATCTCTGGTGTCACTCTCATGTTCATTTCCACATCAATAACCAGGCCGTTGTAGCTGCGCTGTCGGACTACACAAATTGATCCCCTCACCTTGTCAAACTGCTGCGCTTAATACTCATGCCGCTGCTCTGTTTTCTCTCTTCCTCTTGGCTTTCTTCTGCTGATAATGCAATTGTTGACACTGCTTCACGTTTCCAATATACTCGCTTATTCACGCTCACCCCTTATCTTGACAAGAAGCCTTACTCAGTCAACCCCCAGACTCTTGGTATCAAGTGAACCCTCAGCACTCACGACTCGTCGCATTCTACCTCTGTCATGGTCTTGTGGCTAGCACCAGGACCACCTACAGCACTGGTCAGAAATCACTCATCAACTTTGTCAGAGAACACCCCGTGCTGGTCAACACTGACGGATCCTGCTTACCTGCCTCCCAGCGCTGCATCATGGAATGGATCACACACCTGGGGACACGTGGGCTTCAGCCCAAAACCATTAAATCCTACCTTACTGCTGTTTGTTCCCTCCGTCTCGAGGCAGATGCTCCCTTTAACACATGCGAGGCCCCTATTGTCCAACATCTCATCAGGGGCATTAAATGCTATCATGGTGAGTGCAAACCACGTCCTAAACTCCCCATCACATTCCCCATTCTCTCCAAACTTGCCTCTCTCACCTATAGCTCCTTCAACATCGTTGTATTCATAACGGCTGCAAAACTCGCTTACATGGGTTTCCTCCGTTGTGCAGAATTCACCGTCAACAAGCCAAACTCATTCAACCCCAACGTCCACATCACCCATCATCAGTCCGTTTCATGCCCTCCATCAACAATCCTGACCACATCGTCCTCACGCTTCCAGCATCCAAGACTGATCCCTTTCGCAAAGGGGTCACTATTTACATTTCTGCTGCCCCTAGTTCCCCTACCACTTGTCCCGTTTTGGCTCTACGCCATTTATTTTCCATTAATCCCCTTCCCCTTAACTCCCCCCTGTTCTCTACTTCTGATCATTCCCCTCTCACGTGCTTGCACTTCATCAATTGTCTTCGCCTTGCCTTACTCGATGCAGGTTTCCAGCCACACGGATTTTCTGGCCACAGCTTCAGGCGAGGCGCAGCATCTGCAGCCGCTGCGGCAGGATTCCTCAATCACAAAATCCAGCAGCTAGGATGTTGGCATAGCGACACCTACCGTCTGTACATCGACACTCCCAAAGATAGGATCCTCAATCTCTTGTCACGTCTCCACATGGCCGATACTCATTCCTCCACTTTCAAGCCTCCGGCTCTTTGCTTTGCACCATCCCTGGCTTGAGTTCGGCCCCCTGACAGGGGTTTCTCCTTTCAGGAGTTCGGCTGCGTTCCACGTCCGGGTTCCATTTGTTCCCAGTCCGTGAGCCAGCCGTTGAATGAGAGAGCTCATGGCGACAACGAATACACTCTTTGTTATCCCAAACGAGCTGGATGGACCACCAACGACTTCAAGCGTTGACAGGGACTAATTGATCAGTTGACTCTGAACCTATTCTGCACCAGAATGCTGAAGACCATTGCTTCTCACTCTTCACAATCGGTTAGTGAAGTACAACCTCTATATGCTCAGCCCTGTAATTTATGATAGCAAATTGAATCTGACTCATTGGATTTATATGCAACGTCCTGAACCTCCAAAACGACTGACACACACTCGTGAGTAAAGCACTTAGACTTGATAAAATAAATAATTCGCACGTTAACACCCACCATGCTGTTGCCTTTTGGTCTTTCCAGCCCCGGCTTGTCTTTGTACTCTATTCCGGTTTTGCGCCTTTTATCTCAACACCTTGAGAGTGAGAGCAAGCATTTGTAAGGGGACACTTCTATTTTCTCTCCTTTCCTTCATCCCATGGACTCTGACCTACATTCCCTTCGTTCCCCTTCGTTCCTTTTCGCTCCCTTTCCTTTCCATTTCCTTTCCACCCACTCCTTTCGCATCCGAGCTGCGTCCGGTGACTCCGGAGTCTTCCCGCACTTCGGACACTTCGGACTCGCTCGGACTCGTCTATACTCTTCGGGGCTTGTCCGGGCTACCTCTATCCTTTTCCCCCACTTCATTACTCTTCGCCCTTACTCCCCCAAGTCGCTGGCACAACTCCTGTCCATTTACCCTCCACTTCATTATCACATGTTCCCTTGTACCTTGTGATATTTGCTCGGACTTGTGGCTGGTGTACTGTACAGTTATCCTGCATTCCTCTCACGCTACTACAGTATATACTTCGCTTCCTACCATGGAGAATCCTTATCCTGTTCTCTTTGGATTCTCCCTCTGCTAGGTGAGCAGCCCTCTCATGTATTGTAGTTAGTCTTATTCATTATCTTTGGATTCTCCCTCTGCTAGGCTCGCGCTGTGCGGCCATCTTGAGGTTGCCCTTACAGCATTAGTCTCATCAGAAACAGCTTGTGCATTTATTGTTGGATTCTGACAATCTAGGCAGTACAGGGGTTACAGGGGTTCACGTGACTACGTAGATAGATTGCGCGTGCATGTATACTTTTTCTTCATGCGTTTGCTGGAGTCCCAGCCAAACACAATACATACCTGCTTGCTCACTCGGAATTCGTGTGACCTCACCAGCTTATTTCAACATTTATTGCATTTAGTTTTGATCATTGACAAGACTTTGGGGTATGATAAGTATGTGGTGCCTCCGATTCGTTGATTACACCCTACAGTGATGAATACTCAGTAGCATAAACCCCTGTGATAACTTAGCAAGGACCAAAGGCAACAATAAATTCAAGCCAGGTGTTGTTGAGAAGATACATCATATGGAAGGGCCCCACCAGG